AGCTAATTCGCACTCTTTGGACTTTTCTCGTTTGAACACCCAGCCAACCAAAAAATAAAAACCAGTATCAACCGGTTTTAACCGAACGCCAACACCAACATGCATGTTTTAACCCAAGACAGTTCAGTTTCCAGGCAATGATTCCTTTAGGAGAAATTGGCTCTGTTCCAATTTATGGGATGCTTCCTCAGAAGGCCAGATCCGAAGGACGATTACATCATAGCGTGGCGCCGTGGCCTGGTCGGATTCCAAGACTCCTCGTTATGCGACCTTAAAATGCATCCTAGCCCGATTTGAAGGACGGGTCCGATGTATCCTCTCTATCCTTGGATATTCCAGGATTCATTGCGAGACCAAGCAAGCCGGCTGCTCCATGATCAGAGGAAAGGTTACTTGGCGCCGAACAGTGGTGAATATTAGAAGTTCAGTTTAATATAATACAAGAATGTGAATAGTTCCGTCTGAAATGAATGAAAATAGTTGTTTTAAAGGTTATTTAGTCAGGTTTTTATCTGTTACTGTGTAAATGGGTTTGGTTGTAATTTAAGGAAAGCTTCTAATAGATCTGCAGGGTGGGGACTATAAATCTGATAGTTTAATTTTTTTATAGTTGATATGTTTATGTTGAATATTAGAGATTTTGCAGATATATTTTTATAAATACATTGTTTAGATTTAGTTCTATCTTTCTACTCCTTTTTTAGAATAGAATAGAAAATCCCTTTATTGTCCCACAATGGGCAAATTTACAGCAGCAGAAAGATTATTGAAAATGGTCACACAAATGTGGACCTTAGAAAAATGTATAAGAGTAAAGAGTTAAAATATGAACAATAAAATTCTGTAAAGTGTTTTAACAATATAAAACTGCACCTGGAGAATAAATAACCAATATGCAGCTATGGACATTTTTACATTAATGGATATTTGAAAATAGCAGCAACATCAGAGATGTGCAGAATGACAGCAGCAGGTTATTTAACTGACTAAGGTTTCTATCATTACATTTGATTTTATTTGTTCCTGCTCCTGCTGGTTGGAACATTTATTCACCTCTGGATTCTTGTTAATTTAGTCTTTGTTCACTTTACAATAAAAGAGAAAGAAATAAACAAACAGTTTTGAAAACTTCTGTATTCATTCTTTCCCTGCTTTGTGTGTCAACTGTCAAGGTTGCTAAGCAACATGGTCTACAGCGGTGAAACCTGCTGAAGGGTGGACCTGTTTGGATTCACAGCCAAAACTCTTCCGGTCTCCTTATTTTCAAGGACTTGAAAGGATCCAGTCTAGGTAGAGCGCGTCCTTGGAGGATGCAGCCCATTAATTCAAACAGAGCCCTGGTCTACATGCAGAGGAGTTATGCTACATTCAGACCGCACGCAGCAAATGCAGCAAAAACGAGCGTGCTGCTTCACTTTTATGCCTGTACCAGTTTAGTTCTGACGTGCGGCTAATGCATCTTTGCTGCTCTGGTTTCGCGGTGGAAAAAGTAAGTCTGATGCACATATGTAACAAACTAAATATTTAGCTACCTTGGTGCTAGCTAAATATTTAGCTTATTTGCAAATTAACCTGCTGAAAAGCGGAAGTGAACTACCAAAGTAAAATCCTGGGAATTTCTATACATTTAGTATATAAAAAAAAAATAGTTTTATTTTGTCATAGGCATTTGTTTTAACAAAGGGGCAAATGTTTAGGCACCTTCCACAGCTAGCACTAGCTTGGTGCTAGGGCTCACTCGCACTGGCACCAAGCTAGCTAAATAGTTATTTTGTTAAATAAATATTTAATTTGCAAACTAAATATTTAGTTTGGAGCAAGTCTTTATTTAAAAAACTAAATATTTAAGTTGCCAACCAAATATTTAATTTTAAAACTAAATATTTAATTTCTTTAATAAATATTTAGCTCAAAATGAAATATTAAATTTTTTTATTTAATATTTTGCTTCCTAAACATTTGATTTTGCAAACTAAATATTTATTTGAAGCTAAATACTTTTTTAAAACTAAATATTTTATTGGGAGCTAAATATATATTTGACAAAATTAATATTTTATCTGTACAATTATTGATTTATTTGATTTATTTCCAATTTTTGACTTCTTTACTTAACAAACGTCACCCCATAGTCGTGCGTATTTAGACTGATCACAAAGCTGTTAATGTTCTTTGTGTTCGGCTAGGCAAGGGGCAGCTTTGCTGTCTCCACACCTGCAGCCCGAATAACGACAGAAATAAGACTAGAGTGGGTCACAGTCAGGCAGGATCTGGAGTTTCTTCCCAGCATGTCAGGGAGAAACAGGATTTCTTAAAGGAATGTCAACACTGCAAACATCTTTCAATGAGTTTGATGGACTTTGAATTATGTTTGTCTTAAGTGTCCTGTAGGAATGGGTCAAGGTCAAAGCCAGTCTAAGAATGGAAAAACTCCTGAGAGCACTCAGTGAAATTTGTAAGGGGTGAGCAAGTCATTGAAAACAGTAACCTGCCCTATAAAGGGTTAAATATTTTATAGTGACTATTACAGGTTGTTGTTTTTTTCTGTCTTTTGCTGTTTGGCGCATTTCATCTCAACCATTACTGTCAGGCAGGTGGATTAGTTTGTTTCCTCTACAGGTTGAAAACCTGACATGTGCTGAAGTCCTTAAAAAAGAGCGTTGGGGATCTCTAACTCCTGTTGAAGTCAGTGGAAAATATTTAATGGTTTTTGGAGCTTTCTACCATCCACATTGACAGGAATGCATCATAACAGCTTCCTGTTGATTCAGGTCAGAAAAACCATGTTTAGCAGATTCTGAACCACAAGGTAAATGCTGTGTGTCTCACTCTGAGCAACCAGCGATGCTCCAGAGAAGCCGCAGTCCTCTTCCTGGGTAAACTGCTCTGCTATGGACACAATAAAACAATGGACCTACTGTACTGCAACGATCGAATGATGAAAAGCTGGAAGAAAGGCAAATCAGAGCAAACCATTCTGAAGACCTTGGCTGTTTCTCAATTCACTAGAACGCGAGTACGGACTCGTGTTCTCACCAACTATGTTCTAGAGAAGGACACAAGATAGTGTTGACTCTGGGAGAACGAGAGCACGCAGTATTAATATGGGTCAATTGGAACAGAATCGTACTGATGACATTACCACACGCTCAGCTAGTCTGGAGCTGCATTTCACCTCTTCTTATTAGTAGTCTCTAGATAATAAATTCTGACTTTTTCATTCAGTGGGGGAATAATTAAAAGAGTCAAATAAACACAAATCAGATGAATATTTTGCCAAATCAAACAGAAAAATCTCCATCAGAGCCAGCGATCCTTCACACACGGCTATGCAGAGAGAGGGCTGCTGCAGACGGGCTAACGTTAGCCTTGGCTGCTGCAGACGGGCTAACATTAGCTTGGCTAATGCAGACGGGCTAACATTTGCCTTCACTGCAGCAGTCGGGGTAACGTTAGCCCTAGCTGCTGCAGATGGGCTAACGCTAGCCTTGGCTGCGGCAGCAAGGGCTAACGTTAGCGTTGGCTAATGCAAATGGGCTAACATTAGCGTTGGCTAACACAAACGGGCTAATGTTAGCATTTGCTAATGCAGATGGGCTAACATTAGCCCTTGCTAATTCAGATGGGCTAACATTAGCCCTTGCTAATGCAGACGGGCTAACATTAGCCCTGGCTGCTGCAGACAGGCTAACATTAGCATTGGCTGCTGCAGATGGGCTAACATTAGCCCTTGCTAATTCAGACGGGCTAATATTAGCCCTTCCTTGCTAATTCAGACGGGCTAACATTAGCCCTTTCAAATGAACACGGGCAAACGTGACCCCTGGCTACTGCAGACGGGCTTACATTAGTGTTGGCTACTGCAGACGGGCTTACATTAGTGTTGGCTACTGCAGACGGGCTAACATTAGCGTTGGCTGTTGCAGACGGGCTAACATTAGCCTTGGCTGCAGCAGCCATTGCTAACGTTAGCATTGGCTAATGCAGATGGGCTAACATTAGCCCTTGCTAATTCAGACGGGCTAACATTAGCCCTTTCTAACGCAGATGGGCTAACGTTAGCCTTGGCTGCAACAGCCAGAACCTCAGGGTCAAGCCAAAGATAAGACAAACTATACTTTCCTACAGCCATTGCTAAAGCCGGGCACACACTGTACGATTTATTGCCCTTTTCCTTTTCCAGTCATGTGTGAATCTTTCGATCGGGCCGACTTTCAGCCTGATGGTGCATCCTGTAGTGTACAGCGGGTAACAAGGAGCAATCAGCCACCTCCCGATCAGGAATCGTGAGGTTGGGAGAAACTCAAACATGTTTGAAATTCAGTCGGCGGTTGTGAGGTAGTCATGGGCAAATCACTCAGTGGACAAACAAGGATTCTTCTTCTTCTTCCTCCTCTTAGATGCAAACACAGAAGCATGGCAGGGGTGCGATGAGTGAAATGGAGTTATTTCTGTAAAATTGACAGACCGTAGTAGCCACGTTTGCTCAGCCATGTCTTTGTCCAAAGACGTCGTCTCCTTTTCTTTTTAGGGCTTTCAGCACAAAATTACACAAATTGCCAAGGCAGCGCGTTTCACTCTAGTGAGCTTCATGTTCCTCTTCTACTGGTTTGGCTTCTGGATAGACGAGTCAGAGTAGCGCCATCTCACTGCGGAGCTGAGTCCCACCTGGTTTTAGACGTACAGTGTGAGCAGGTAGATCGCATCAGAGTGTCAGGTCACATTGTGAGAACATACATCTAGAGCTGTGAAACCCTGCAGTTTCATTGTACAGTGTGAGCTGTAGCTGAGTTCAATGATTGAAAAGAATCGCACAGCGTGTGCACAGCTTAACAAATAGATGCATATATTTAAACATCCGTGATTTCTTGATAAAAGGTATAGCGGATAAAATCCTTTCAGTTTTGAGTTCAATTGGTCAGTGGGGAAAATGACGCTTCTAAGCCATAGATATACTCTGCTTACATCCCACTCAGTTGTTTTTCTTCATCTCTTTACAGAGGATGCAGGGACTTATTTCCCCAGCATTAAGAAGGATCCTGGCCGTTACCTGCAGCCCTGCTCAGACTCTGTGAAGACCTGGCTGCGCACCATGAAAACCGCCGGGAAGGTCCTCCTCCTTATCACCAGCTCCCACAGTGACTACTGCAGGCTGGTCTGCGAATACATCCTGGGGTAAGTGACTGGAATGGAGCTGACTTTCACATTTAGCCAGGGGGGGATTTACCAATAGGCAATACTAGGGCCCCAAGTTCCTGGGGGCCCCATAAAACTCTGTTTACATGTATGGTTAATACAACTGTTCCTTATTTATGCACATTAATTATGTTTTTGATAAAAATCCTTTCACTAAATTCCATCAGAACACTGATAATAATAAGTGTGTCTCAGCCCCCCCCTCAGTGTCCACCATATTGGATCAGTCCATTTGCTGCACATGTTCAGAAAGGTCCAAACAGACAGCAGCAAACCATTTGAAAACAAACCATGCAAAGAGCAGTGTTGCTAACTTAGCGCTTTAGTCGCTATATTTAGCCACTTTTCAGACCCCTCTAGCACTTTGATTTCTAAAAAGCTCCTAGCGCCAAATCTAGAGACTTTTTTCTGCTACTGGAGACTTTGGAGACAACATCTAAAAGCAGCGAACTCTGCTCTCCAGAGCAAGTAGATTGGTAACCCCGCCTCCTGCTCTCCTCTATCTTGTCTGCTGTCATGATTCATGCAGCTATTATTTCATCCAAATGAAAAATGGAGAACAGAGAAGCAGATCATGGCTTGTCTACAGTGAAAAGAAGGACTGGGTTATTTACTTTGGCCTTTTTGGAAACACAGGAAGGAGCAATCAGCTAAGTGAGCTTAGTGCTTGGAAAAAATCTTTCATTCCTTTAGAGACAGCATGAAAAGTCAGCTGAGTACAAAACATAGAGAGGAAAACAAGAAGGAAAGGGACGAGAAGAGAGGGACACAACCTAGAACAGATAATGGATGTCTATTCTATTAACATTTCTCTATCTGTAGAACAACACTTTACCAAGCCTCATTTTCCCTTAAAGTGAATAGGGTGTGTAACATTGGGCTGGAAATGGCATATTTGCTGTTCTATGAGCCCTAGTGCAAGCCTGGTTTGCTTGTGCCGCTAGGCGTTCATGGAGAGAAGTCAGCTTCTTCATCCAGTAGGTATGAATCATGTCTGAGCCTGGAGCTGTCCACTTCCTCATACCTTAGAGTCTTTGTTGGAGGTCTGCCATTGTGATGTTTGCTGGACTTTGCTCAGGGAGATTAGCATGGTCAGATTTTAGGTCCTTTAGCCACTAAGCATCGTTGTTATGTTTCTTTCCCATTTATCCTTGCCATAGCTGGTTCTTTATGTATGGGTTGGTATATTTAGGTGTTTTTTTGTTTGTTTGTTTTCCCTTGGCACTATCTTCATATACTGAACATTTCCTATGCTGAAATCTTTTCATTTCATGTGTGAGCTTTTAAATCATGAAACATGTGTAATGCATATTGTGTCCACTAGATGGTGGCAAAATACTCCTTTGAGGATGGAAGGCACATACTGGATAAATGTAGTTGAAATACACAATATTGGCTTCAATCTGACAGGAAATTTTTTATTTTAATTGTTAAAGATGTAAATATCGTGGAGCTCCTCCAGAGGTTAGAATTAAACCCTGTAAAGTTGGAGGTTTCTCAACAACTTTATCCTCCAGATCTAACACAGCTGCCATAGGAAGTAGAGATAAACACAGTGATAAGCTGTGTTTATTTATTTTACTAAATAGTATTTTATTATTCTGTTTTACAAATAAAACTTCTAGGTGTATAACTTCAAAAGTAGATACATGCTGAGTGAAATTAGTTACTGAAACAGAACCAAACGTATTAGATGAACGTTTGTTGCCAAAGCCTTTGTTGGGCTCAGGATGAGCGGCTGTTAGTCTGCTCTACATGCGTTTTATTTTGGTAAAGAAAAACATTGTTTTACACTCAATCAAACTGCCTCAGAAACATAATGATATAAACCTCCGTCTGATGTCCACAGCCAGTATAAACAAACAGCTATATTGCTGTGGATAGGGCTCTTTAGCTTTAATCCAGAGTTTTATGCGTCGGTTTTTAATGTCCTCCTAGAAATCGATCTGAAGTGATCAGAAAAAAAGGTAAAGCTGTCTAAACTGTGGATACTTCCTCCACCCCCCTGCGTAAACACAAAAAACACATGTTTTTGAACTGTGGGAGAGAACTGGAGTACCTAGAGAGAAACCTATGCATGCATGAAAAGAACAGACAACAAGAAACATTCAGCTGAGATTTGAACCCAGGAACCTTTTTCTGCAGGGCAGCAGTGCAACATTTCATTGCTAATTAAGGACTAAGGTAGGAATTAGGAGTAGGGTTAGGTTTAGAGAAATCTGAAAATGAATGGCAATCAATATAAGATCCTCATCTAAACTTGAATGTGTGTGCTTTCATGCTCTATATAGATATATATCTATAGTGAAGGCTCTACAGGAAACTATACCAGCTTTATCTTCCTAGGTTTGGTTAATGAAGAGGTTTGTGACGTTTAGATTGGTTTCCTTTGCTGAAAGACACTTCCTGTTTTTCTCAGGGTTAATCTTAATACCACATTAGCTTTGATAAAGCAATATACTCTTATTTCTAAGTCAAGTGTTCTTCTAGTTGCTGTCAAGAAACTTTTTGAGTGTCCAAGAAGGTCCTATCCTCTGCTCAGAGCTGCTTTAGAAATAACACACACAGGCCAGAGCAACTCTGCAACAGGACAGCGTGCCTAAAGAAGCTGCTCTTTGTACTCGGCTGGTTTATTTTGGAGCACATGCTTCTTTTCTCTCTGAAGGGATGATTGAAGTCTTTATTCCAGAGCCAAGGGGTTCTTTTGCTCAGCTGTATCAAATTGGGCTCAGTGTGTTTTGACTTAAATCCCCACTAGACTTCTGTGAAGTTACAGAATTCCAGCTTTCTGGTATTTTGAAATACCTTTGAAATATTCAACGCATCATAATACCTTTCATACAAGGGTAATTGTAGGAATAATACTTTATGGTACAATGAAATGATCCAAGTGTCTATCTGAGGGATCGAAGTTCGGAATTTGCAAAAAACGTTAAAGATTAAAGTAAAAAGTTACTAAGAAGTGGAGCTGAAAGTTTATTTACCTTAAATCCGATATATAATGTTAACCCTTCACTCAAACCTTAACAGCCCAGCCTGAGCACTGGTTTAATTCAATTTAGTTTATTCTATAATACAGTAGCAGACATGCAAAACTACTCTAGAAGCAATGATCTATAAACACTTTGTTAAAAATAGTTAAATTAAACTAGCTCCACAGGTGGCTCTGTCTAGGAAAGAAAAAGTTTAACAGATGACCTCTGACCTAGTTTTCAACTCAAAAAAGGATGAATCACAGTACACACTGAGCCAGTAGCTTTGTCTACAAGAGAAACAGGACTAAACAGTGAAAAACAGCCCCTTCCAGGATGGTGTCACAGCTAAATAAAACCAGACCAAATGAAAAGCGAGAAAAACCATAAAGTTAAAAGTTGATCAAACAAATATTGCACAATTGGGAAAAACAAGAAGACTGAACCAGATTTAAGATATGTTGTCCCTATGTCCTCCAGCAGTCTAAGCCTATAGCAGCATAACTATAGAGATAGCTCAGGATAACCTGAGCCACTCGAACTATAAGCTTTATCAAAAAGGAACGTTTTATGTCTATAGGCTTAAAAGTAGACAGGGTGTCTGCCTCACGGACTAAAACTGATACAGTAGCAGCCATTCAAAATGGCCCTCCCCAGTCAAACGAATGCCGAATGGAAGCCAACTTATAGCCACTGCAGTGACCCCTCCTTCTCTGACTCCACCCTTTGACTGAATTACAGGGTTTGACCAGGAGAATGTGCTTCTATTAAGATTTAAATTTCCACAAATCATGACAGAATATTTTAGTAGAAATATTGATGTTAAAAAAGGAATTATAGGGACTATTAATGAAAAATGGGGAACTATTGAATGTAGTTGGTTCCACTGTAGAGGAGCATTCACTCGTTAACAAATGGTCGAATGAGTTACCTTATGCCCCTAAAGATTAAATTGAATATTTAAACTTAAGGGTTTGCATAACCGATAGTGCCTAAATTATTGTCTAAGTTCTTTAAAAAAGTGGAGGCAGACCAACATGAGTGTGTGACCTCAGGTAGAATGGTCTCATTAAAAACTCTGCTGATCTTTCTAGAAACCTTTCCTGGAAGAGTGGAGGCTGTTACAGCCGCAAAGGTTGGACACACCATTAAACCCAGTGGGTTATAAACTGAGTTTATATAACTAAGCATATGTAAGGTATTCCCAGATCTGCAAAAATGTAGTTATGTTACAACCTTAATCCAAACAGTATCAGATTAAGGCTGCAACTAAAGATTATTTTGATCGTCGATTAATCTGTTGATTATTTTTTCAATTAATAATTGGATAGCCAAAGATTCCTTAAAGACTTTTTACAAACTTAAATCAGGTGAAACTAAAACCTTTCCACTTGAGGAGTTCTGGATAGAGCATATCGACAGATGAAAAAGTTTTTTTTTTTATCTTAAATGCAAAATGTTAACATATTTTTCTACAATCTTGGTATAATTCCTGCTCTAAATGGGTCAGTTTAAGGCGTGAGTCTCTATACTCTAGTTAACTATTAATCGATTCCTAAATTAATCTTGTGAATTGTTTCAGCCTTTTGGTCAGATTAAGCTCTTTTCTCAAAATTATACAGACAATACAACTTTATAAAAATGTGAAAAGCCTTTTTCACAGGAATTGCAGATTGGTTTGCCACAGAAACACATCTGAGACGTCCGTCAGCGTCGTTAAAAAAAACTCAGCATAAACTGAATCAGCTGTAGTTTCCAGTCATCATTCAGTCTTACAGTATAAGTTCAAGCCTTAAGGGACCTCTATCGTTTAAAATTGACTTTTTTGAGCTTTTACCTGTTAAAAAGCTATTTCTCCATTAAGATCATGAATCACGGGCGTGTTTCAGTGGCGAAGTGGTCCGACCTGTGGTCCTTTGCTGCATTTCTCTCTCATACTCACTCTCATTTCATCCCACTTTCTAAAAAAATTTAAAAAATGAGCCACTAGTCCTGTAAAAAACCTAAAAAAAATTAATAAGTCATAAATCATCATCAATCATCCTTACATGTCTGTCTGATTCTGATGAGTTCTTCTCTCTGGGTATCGAGGAAAAACAGGTTGCCATGCTAGCTACTTAGACCACGCCATGCCTGCCCATTAAACACACGCCCACTTTCTCCAATGGCTGGTTTTGTGCGTTTTGTGAGTGCGATCATTTCTGCTTAAAGTTGAGTTAAAGTGGCTCTTTCAGCAGCTAATCTGTACAGTGACAGCGACTGTCGCTCTTTAAGCTTATGTCAAACACACAAAAATATTTCTTTAGCTGGCAGAGATCTTTGACTTTGTTAAGCTTTCCTGAAAAGGAGTCTTATCACTGCATGATTTTATGCTGCAGCATCTCTAGGAAGATTTAGTTAAATGGGCAGCACTCAAACAGTGAAATGCTGCGTTTCAGTAAAGGCGAGCATCTTTCTTCCAGGTTAGAAACATTTCATAATACATGACTGTTTTGTAGTGCAAATGGAAATACCTCATTGTCTACCTTCTTATACTTGACTTTGGAACATTTTAAACAATTTGATTCAAGACCTTTAATGAGCTCTCTAGATGTCTGAGTATAGACTTTTATTTTTTCTAGAACAAGGTGTTTTGGTTACAGTTAACTGTTTCAACGCTGGGAAAACCTGATATGATGTAGGCCAGTTGACTCCAAGGTTTAGGTATTATTTAATCAGATGTGTTAATGAATGAGCCCATTTAAAAGATGCTAGATGATGCCATGTGTGACGTGTACAAAGCTGTGGATGAGGTCATCTTTACATCTTTTTTTTTTTCTTTCTACTTCTTTTAATCTTGACAATAAAGGGATTTTTTTTCTATTTGTTCTATTCTACCCATTCTCTCTGGTGGTGCAACGTAAGTGTGCACAGAAAGCGGCGGATATTGCCTCACCTGCGGCTTTCTCACTGCTTTCGGACCGAGATATTTTGCTGTGATATGGTCATCTTTACATCTACTGCACTGCTTGTACGCGTGAGTGTTGCGATACGATACTTGGGTCGCGATGCGATATTATCACTATATTGCGATATCAACATATATTTTGTGATATTTTCCCTGCTATTAAAATGTAATGTTTAGATAAAAAAGCAACGTCTCAGTAATGGTTTATTAACGGTTTCAATTTAAGTTTTTTTTTTTTACCAACTTGCATCCATGCTGGGCTGCGTCGGTAACACTTTCGTTTTCATTTAAACTTCACATACAAGTAAGTGAACTTAGTTGTGTAGTATTGACATCACCATGTAACATCTCTTCCAGCCTGTAGACAGGGTGTCTACAGGCTGGAAGTCACGAACAAATCTTGGCAAAAAACAGGGTTCTTAATGGCTGACTCGCACGCAATTGCATCACAGGCCAAGATACTTCCAGGAAGTTCTCCAGAGCGTCCAGTCGTGCACATGCATCCACACAGTGCAATATTGAAACTATAAAAGCAGCCTAAAACGGAATGAGGGTTGGGAAAAGCTGAGATGACTGATGATGTAAAGCTCGGTGAAACATTGTACTGAGGACAGCATGTGAATTTGATTCTGCAATAAAAGCTCTTCCCCTGTCCAGTGAGCAATCAGATAATCGACTGAAGGTGTCTTGACTTTTGAGATTCTACCATTTGAAGATTCCACAATATATGTTCATCGCATTATATTGGTCGTTTTATATTTTGGTATCCATGTTGCTTGGGGTTTGAGTCAGTCCACGTCTTCCACTATGACTGCCTCAGCTATAGTTATAGCGCCGCGCAGCAAAAGGGCTCCACAGCGCCATCTGCCAGCCTGGCCGTACAAAGGTAGCCCTGTTTTAGGCAAAAATCTTTTGCTTTTAAAAATCGATACTAGTAACTAAAAGATTGATATTATATCAGGCAGCCAAAAATCCTGACATATTGCCAAAACAAATTTTTTCTACATGCCTAACTACTTGTCTCAGATGTCAGACATTTGATAGGGTGGCATCTTATAACCCTTCATATGAAGGTTTATGTCTAATAAATGTCAAGTAAAAGTAACATCTCCCGTTTTACTGGTCATCCCAAATAGCTCTTTATTGAAGCAAAATTCCCATGCAGAAATAAATCTAAATTCCTGATTCACAGCTAGAAACCTGCTCTGCTCCATAACTTTTCCCTGTTTATTCCTGTCTGGTGTTACAGGAAGGATTTTGAGGAGCTGTTTGACGTCATCATTACCAACGCCTTGAAGCCTGGGTTTTTCTCCTTGGTCCCCCAGCAGAGGCCCTTTAGGACCCTCGGTGAGTAGCAGTGCATTCATCTATGCACCTGCAGGCCAGTAGCTGAACTACAGTTGCTTCATTTTTCTTGGGAAAAGAATGTGCATCTTACTGCCGTAGCTTTGTCTCTAGGATTCCTCCATTGTGCTTGGCATTGGTTCCATAATTGTGAACCAAACACTCAATACCTTAGTGAGTTATATCAAACCATGATTACACTTTTTATGGTTATTGATCATTTTTAGGGCTGGGTAAAAAAATCGATTTAATTGATTTTGAATAGATTCTTTTACATTTAGGGAATGAGATCTATTAGTTTTATAGTGACGCGCGTGACGTTCACATTCAAATGAGCAGGAAAGATGCACTTAAGTTGACTTCAAGCCAGACAGCTGCAAATATAGCCAATAGGTTGATTGAAGACTTTAACAAATGGGGGCTGACCAGCCAACACCCTGTAGTTGTTACAGACAACACTGCTAATATGGTTTGTACAATGGAGATAATGCAGCTCATTCATGTCTGCTGCTGTGTCATGTCTGTTTGCTCGTGTGAGGCTTCACTTTTTCACTTTTCACAAACAAGTTTGCACTTTTGAGACAGTTTTGTTCACATCTCTAGTTTAAACTGTCCGATTTACAAGTTTGCACTTTGTGTTTGATATGCCAGGAAATAAAATACATGAGTGTTTTGAAACACAGTTGAACCACTTTCATTATTGTATAAACAGATTGAATCTAAATGAACCGATTTAGAACTGTATGAATCAAAATCGAATCGATTCAGGTCTTTGGCCAAAATACCCAGCCCTGATCATTTTTATTTATATTTTTTCCCCCCAAAGATTTAACCCTCTGACCCCTTAAATCAAAATAATAAAATTGAATTGAATAATTGAACTTTATTAACCTCACATTGGAGAAATTTACCTCTGCATTTAACCCATCCCCTTGGGGAGAAGCAGGCTGCCATTGTGTGGCAGCCGGAGAGCAATCTGAGGTTAAGGGTCTTGCTCAGGGACCCAGAGTGCAGGCTGTGGGGATCAAACCAGGTACTTGCAACCCTCTCAGAGCACAAGCAGACTGCTCTAACCTACTAGGCCATCACTTCCCTGAACACCAGCACTGGAAAAATATCTAAAAAAGTAAAGTGTCTTAAATTAAATGTATTTACTCTTAATTTGAGTAGGTAAACGCGATAGTTTGGCAATGGAATGAGTATTTTTTTAATAAGATAATTAGATAAAATGCACCTTAAATAAGACAATGCAATTGTGTTTTTTTATTTTAAATGTAAATTGTCTTGTCCCATTGGAAAAATGTCACCTTTACCTCCTCAATCCAAGAATAAGCACTTATTTTAAGAAAAAAATGACTTTGATATTTCGATTTTTTTCCAGTGAGTATGCAACAAACTAGGGAACTCCTACAAACAGTACCATTACTTCACTCTAATACCATATTTATTTATGAATATAAAGTAATTATTTTCAATCTTAAGTAATTGTATTATTTCAAATAACGCTGAATTTTAAATTAATCAATTTAAATTCATTTTTATTATCGAGTAAGAAGTTTATGTGTGAATTTTCCAATTTAATTCTAATCAGCCTAGCAGATTTTCAGCACATGGCTGTTATAGAGGTTAAATATACCAGAGTAGTAAAAAAACAAAATTATTTCAAAGAAGTCAGCAATAAGAAAATTATTTCACTCTGATGAACATGATGTTTTAATCCACAGGGTTGTATAATAAACTTTTAGAGAATATTCTTCCAAACTTTGTTAGATCTCTAACAAAAGGTAAAAATTAAAACCATTTTTAGCCTCAGACTGAAGGCAGGACATAGAAAGGGCGAAAGGAATGCTTATTTTTGTTGTCATGGCAAAGTTAATCGTGAGGAGGAGAGAAGAATGTCTGAGTGTGTAAATCTTCTTGTCTTCACACATAATGCATCCCTAATGTTAGCAGAAAGATGAAACAGAGGAGGTGGGCCTTCCTTAAAGCTCCCCATGTGCCAGGGTACACCTTTCCAAGCAGCTTTTCAGACCAGAGGCCCAGGTAGCAGAGACAGGAGCAGGCACCTTGAGGAGCTAACAGGAGCATACGGTCAACATGTTTAAAACATACATCAGACCTTTTCAGTCAGAAGAAGTAAACTTAAACCAAACTCTCTGGGTGCAGTTTATGCAGCGTTATGGTGCATGCACACCAAACGCAAATAATTTACAAGTTATGCTTATGGAGAGGCTCATTCAGGAGGGAATCCATGCAAAGGACTTGCTTTTAATTCAATTCTATTCAGTTTATTTCTATAGCACCAATTCACAACACGTCATCTCAAGGCACTTTCCAGTCCACCAGATCATCCAGTCAGATTGATTCAAAGTTTTCTATCTAAGGAAAACCAGCTGATTGCATCGACTCATTGACTCAAATACAATCCCTCACACTAAGCATGCTTGTAGCGACAGTGGAGAGGAAAAACTCCCTTTTAACAGGAAGAAACCTCCAGCAGAACCAGGCTCAGTGTGAGCGGCCATCTGCTGAGGCCCACTGGGGCTATTAATGATGCAAACAACAGGATTAGGGTAAATAGAATGAAGGGAAACCAGAGATGGAGAAAAGCAAAGTTCACTGGAGTTCAAAAAGTTTTCTCATGTCACATTGTGCCAACCGATCAGGGTCTGGATGATGTGGCGTAGGGTGAAGGAGGGCAGTGGAGACAAAATTTGTTCTATTTCAAATGGAAGATAGAAATATAACCCTTGAAATAATTATGAATTACGTTCTTAAGAGATTCCTTGATGGATTTTATCCTGTTCAAAAAGCATAAATTAAGTTTAGCTACTGTTCTTTAACCATTGGGAGGATTCAGTCTGCCAAATTAAACCTTGTAACGGTGGATAGTAGCCTTTTTGTGGCAGAATGAGGCTGCAAACTTGGAAGCTCCAAGTGGACGAGTAGTTAATAGAAACCGGTTAAACAAGCTGGCGGCAAGACCCTTCGGCTAGTAGTGGCGGCTTAGCGTTCAGGGCATAAAGCTTGGAATCATGAGGTTCTCAAGCCCCACTCTCACAGACTGCCACTCTGGGTGTCTGAGCAAAGACCCTTGAAGACCATTAACAATGATCCCCGGGCACCACAAGGGGATGGGTTAAATGCAGAGACGGAATTTTGTTGCGTTGCGTGTAATTACAATAAAATGCTGTAAAACATTTTTTATATAATATAGCCCTTTGTAGGGCTGTTAAATCAATCGTCCCTCCTGTAGCTCCAAAGATGGTCCCAGCCAGCTGAATTTCTCAGCCTTGCCTTGTTCTCACGCTGTCCTCATCAGGCTCCAAGAGCGCCTCCAGTGTTGTCTGGGTGATCCGTCGGAACTTGATAACTAGTTAAAATTCTGGAATTACTGCTGGAAGTGATCCAGCCGTAGCTCCTGGATTCCCAAGACCTGTACCAAAGGACTCAGGAATCTGGATCAGTAATGATCTCTGAAGAAGGTTGAAGGTCTCTGTCGTTATGTTTGCTGTTTTTCCTTCTTTAAAATGAGAGAAGGTTACATGCTGATAAGAAACAAGGGACTTAAAATACAATCCAATTTAAAATTCAATCCAACGATGAACCCGTCCGTGGAGGATCAGGAATCAGAAAGGTGAAATACTGTAACTAATGTTTTTTTTTACTTTTACCCGATGTATTCCAACATCCAGCTGCCATGCACGTGGGCATTGTCAGTTTCACTATAGCTCTGGTGAATTTCAATGGTGAAGTCCTCTGGAAATCTTCAATAATTGTTGTTGATTGCAGATGTGTCTAGTAGTTCCCATTGATTTAGCTTGTAAAGCGGGGAGAATGGCGCTAGGCTTACCGCACCGTGACGTCACTGCTGGAAGATGGCAGGAGGGAGGGGTTACTATATTTGGGCAAAAATGGCCGCTCCCAGACTCAGTGATCGCAACAAAAATTATTATTTTTATTCTTTTACCGATAAAGCTAAATTAATTAAATCACCACAAACATATTAGTTTTAGGTGTAAATAATGATTCATTGATTATTCCTTGAGGACCAGACTTTTCCTTTAAAGTTTTTTACTTTTATTATCAAAAAGTCTTTTATTGTCATTATATTCTGCAACGGTTACAATGAGATTTGGGACTTCCATATCAGCTACCGTGAAATAAAAAAAATAAAATTAAAAATATATAAATATATTAAAAGGAAAAGGAAATGTAAACAGTTAAAAAAAATATATAAATATATTAAAAGGAAATGTAAACAGTACTGGCACAGATTGTGGGGGGGGGGGGGGGGGGGGGTAGTGCAAACCAGGTGAAAAGTGTCCGTCAGTGCAGGTCGGAGTTGAGGGCGGCAATGGCTTGGGGGAAGAAACTGTTCTTGAGTCTGTTTGTCCTGATCCTCATTTGCCTGTACCTTTAAAGAATGTTTGGACAAAACAGCCTGTAAATAGCAAAAAACTGCCTGTAATTAGCAAAAAAACTGCCTGTAAATAGCAAAAAACTGCCTGTAATTAGCAAAAAACTGCCTGTAATTAGCAAAAAAACTGCCTGTAATTAGCAAAAAAACTGCCTGTAAATAGCAAAAAACTGCCTGTAATTAGCAAAAAACTGCCTGTAAATAGCAAAAAACTGGCTGTAAATAGCAAAAAACTGCCTGTAAATAGCAAAAAACTGCCTGTAATTAGCAAAAAACTGCCTGTAATTAGCAAAAAAACTGCCTGTAAATAGCAAAAAACTGCCTGTAATTAGCAAAAAAACTGCCTGTAAATAGCAAAAAACTGCCTGTAATTAGCAAAAAAACAGCCTGTAAATAGCAAAAAACTGCCTGTAATTAGCAAAAAAACTGCCTGTAAATAGCAAAAAACTGCCTGTAATTAGCAAAAAAACAGCCTGTAAATAGCAAAAAACTGCCTGTAATTAGCAAAAAAACTGCCTGTAAATAGCAAAAAACTGCCTGTAATTAGCAAAAAAACAGCCTGTAAATAGCAAAAAACCGCCTGTAATTAGCAAAAAAACTGCCTGTAAATAGCAAAAAACTGCCTGTAATTAGCAAAAAAACAGCCTGTAAATAGCAAAAAACTGCCTGTAATTAGCAAAAAAACTGCCTGTAAATAGCAAAAAACTGCCTGTAAATAGCAAAAAAACAGCCTGTAAATAGCAAGAACAGCCTGTAAATAACAAAAACAGCCTGTAAATGACAAAAACAGCCTGTAAATAGCAAGAACAGCCTGTAAATAACAAAAACAGCCTGTAAATAGCAAGAACAGCCTGTAAATAGCAAAAACAGCCTTCACTTTGAAAGCTAATATGATCAAACTCTTGTTTCAACAGCTTTCTTGGCACAGAATTGTTTTGTTAAGTTTCTAAAACACTACAAAGAAAAAATGCAGCTCCTCTCTCTGTACGCCCTCAGGTGGGTTTGCAGAATACTTTCTTTTATCCTCTGGTGCAACATTAAACCGTCGGCCTCCCAGCTTTACTGGTCGGGCTGTTTTCAAGCCTTGGATGGCTCAGATGGGAATGTCAGGTGTTGGAAGCAGCCCTGGCAGAAAGTGTGTTGTAAGTTTGGGTTGGTCTGAGACAGGAATGGTGGGGCTCAGTCTCAACATGCCTGTCAGCGCGGCTCCGTCTCACCCTCAGCTTTTCTCCTCGCTCACACTAGCAGAAGCTTTCTATTCATTGTTGGTACAAAAAAACCGATTCAAAGAATCCCAAACAGTAAAGCTATATATTTTATCTGTCATTTAAAACATGAAGGTTTACAGTATAACTATACACTAATTGGCCTCATTATTAGTAGAAATGGTTTCCTCCTTCAGTCCTGTATGGAGGCTATTCTCTGTAAAGCACAGAGGAGGTTGTTGGAACAAAATACCTCCCCTAAATGTCACTAAATGTCCTCCCTTACCTATTCTGACACTGATGTTTAAATGTAATGATGTCCTGTTACTTCTGCTAAATCATTGTATAAAAACACGTAATTAAGCTGCCAATTTGTGCCAATTAGTTTTTACAAAGTTAAAAGAAGTACATTTCATTTCACTTCAGTGATTGATTTAAATGTTTATTCTTCTTAAATGTTGCCCAAGACTTGCCTCATATTTCATCACAGCAAAGATTAACAAAGATGCTGCCCTAACTGTCGGCTTTTTCTCATCATAGTAGCTTCATCTGGTCTGTTCCTGTTTGGTTGTGACTCCATCCTGGAGAGAAACATCAGCTGTGCTGCTGCCATCAACACCTTTGTTTCTAGATGTTGGAGATTGGCCTGTTTTCCAGTGTAGTCCTGTTTCTCTGACTGTGACTAACTGGATGTGCTCTCTTCGTCCTCTGGCATGGGAGCTAGCTCAGAGCTCGTCTGCCTGGCTGTGTGTTTCCTGGACGGGGCCGCCTTTTACAGCTGCTTTTTGTGTCTCTGCTTCTGTCTCCTTGAACCCCAGTCGGCCTCAGCAGATGGCCGCTCACACTGAGCCTGGTTCTGCTGGAGGTTTCTTCCTGTTAAAAGGGAGTTTTTCCTCTCCACTGTCGCTACAAGCATGCTTAGTGTGAGGGATTGCTGAAGAGTCAATGAGTCGATGCAATCAGCTGGTTCTCCTTAGATAGAAAACTTAAAGGTGTTACTTTATTGTGTCTCTTATACTATATCTGTTGGTTGTTCTGTTCTTTTTACATCTCTTTGCAGGTGATGAAGCAGACTGAAGATGTTTTATCACTATCTCCCTTCTATCTCCTCTTTCTTTCATCTTTTCTCAGTTTTTATGTTTTTCCTTTCCTGTTCTACTTACATTGCAGTGTCCAAATAATCTGTAAAACTCCCTGCATAATTATAATAAAGTTATTTATATGCATAAATCAAGCGGAACACTATGGACAATTATTAAGACAATTATTGTTATTGCCACATGGCCAGACAGGACGCTGTTCAAGAAAAAAAGAAAAGAAAAAACTTTGAATCAATCTGACTGTATGATCTGGTGAACTGTAGAGTGAGATGACATGTATTGTGTATTGGAGCTATAGAAATAAACCGAATCTAAACTGAATTGAATTTTATCGCAGTAACGAATAACAATCCAAAGCTCCATTTCCTATTGTTTTTTCTCCTACAGTGAATGATGTGGAAGAAGCAGAGGGCCTTCCATCGCTGGACAAGCCGGGCTGGTACTCCCAGGGCAACTGGCCACACCTCCGTGAGCTGCTCAAGACCATGACAGGAAAATCAGAGCCAAAGGTAGGTCTGCCAGACATCTGGTTGAAGGGTATCCGTGGCTCGCTTTGAGATTGACTCCCAACCGCAGTCCTTGGCAGAGAATGAGAGGGATGAAGCCTGGGTGATAAATGAGCTCAGAGAGATTCACATGGGGATGATGAGGTGGAGGAGCGTGGCTCTTGGCGTGGATCTCCGTCTGCATCCTGGGAGTTTATTCCCTGAAGAAGCTGAACATTGGAACATAATTTTCAATACCAAACACAGGACAGCTACAGCTCACATGTGTTTCATGTTTGTTTTGGCATGTCAACAGTCTGAAAAGTGTATCTGAATAGAGATGAGAGTTTCTCCAGTAAAATTATTCTGTTTTGCCTCTACAACAACTTATAGCTGACGTATTCAGAGGAATTATTGTTCCTGTTTATTGGCCTATAAGTAGGGAACATGTCAACCTTTTGAAGATGTTAACAACCTTTTTTAATTAGAGTAAACACTTTTTAGCTGAAGCAGGAAGTATAATGAACAGCGCCCCCAAATCTAAACCTCTCGTTCTGGATGTTGAGGGTAAATGGAGGCCTGACCCTCAGATTCCAAGTCCTTAGGCAGCTCAGCGCTCCGCCCCGCTCACGCATGTCATGCGGAGTGTTTTTCATGTTAATCAATGAAAACTGTTCCACATCCACCGATACTCTTCCGCACATCACTGTCCACATACGTCTTCTCTGTCCGTCATCGTCACAATACGGAGCTGAGCTATTTTTTGCTTTGCTCCGGTCCGGCCAGGTCAAGATCCGCAACTGCAATCGCACCAAACAGGAAAAAGAACGTCGAGAAGATCTGGTTGGTCAAACCAAAATATAGTAATGATGGATCGATCGGTCACGACAAATTAGAGCATAATTCTATATTCCCAAACACTAACACCGTTTAATGAAGTTATTTGATGCGGTACTGCAACATACCAGGAAGCAGAATTCTCATCTCCATCAAAATATAGATTTTATAACGAGAGGCTTAAAAGTTTCATCAAATCCAATCAAAACTTCCAAGAGCGCCTCTCACAACCTCAAAGAAACTTCTTAACGCAGGCGTGGATGAAGAGATGCTGAGTGTGGAAGTAGAGAACAAACATAGTTCATAAAAATCTATTTGATATGATCCTAGTTATCCCTGTTACAAAAATCCACAAAAAAAATAAAATATGTGGGCAGAAACGGCACATATGGTGGACGCTGATGGGGAATTTTTTTAATATGACATTAAATTAAGCGTTAATTTCCTTAAGTTTTTCAAAAGCGTGTCGCATTCACCAAAGAAAAATAATCAGACGGCTTATCTCATAATTATGAAATCAGTATGTCATAATTATGAGATATTATCCCGTAATGGTATCAAACTGGTATTGGTGCCCTATTTGTTGGTTCTCGCTGCTAAAATGCCATCAGAACGCTTATAATATTAAGTGTGTCTCAGCCCCCCCCCCTCAGTGTCCACCATATTGGATCAGTCCATTTGCTGCACATGTTCAGAAAGGTCGGAACAGACAGCAGCAAACCATTTGAAAACAAATGATGCAAAGAGCATTGTTGCCAACTTAGCGCTTTAGTCGCTATATTTAGCCACTTTTCAGACCCCTCTAGCACTTCAAAAAAGCGCCTAGCTCCAAATCGGGTTATTTACTTTTGCCTTTTTGGAAACACAAGAAGGAGCAATCAGCTAACTGAGCTTAGTGCTTGGAAAAAATATTTAATTCCTTTAGAGACAGCATGAAAAGTCAGCTGAGAACATAACATAGACACAGGGTTCCCGCGGGTCCTTAAAAAGTCTTAAAAGGCATTGAATTCTTCAAAATAAAACTAAGACCTTAATTGGTATTAAAATGTCTTAAATCAGTCTTTCGTAGGTCTTATTTTTTAAAACATCATAAATAGGATTATTTTTATTATGAATTATTTTTGTAATCTAAATAAAACATTAAAATTGAAAACATTTTTTTTTTTTATAAAAAAAAAATAACGGCTCGCCATTATTGGTTCCGTCCCGATAGCGGAACCAATAAAATCGTTGTTGCGGCCGGGACATTTGGGAGATACACCATTAACTTTTTGTCTGGAAAATATGAGCAAGTGTAAGGGCGTTTCTCAATTCACGAGAACGCGAGTACGTACTCGCGTTCTCGTCAAGTCCGTTCTTGGCGAGAACGCAGGAAGAGCGGACTTGACGAGAACGCGAGCACGCAAGCATGTATGTGTATTGGAGCAGAAGTGTACTCGTGATGTCATCACATGCAACGTTGTTTAGCATTTCTTTAACAGTCAAAACTATTTATTCCCTACACAAAACATGTTGAAAACAATATTTTTAATTTCTAAAGCTTAAAAAACATTAAAAAAAATTACCGAACCGCAAAAAAACGCCATCAGAACGAGCGGTAGTTCACACATAACTAGACCGAGAGAAGTGCACTACAGACGGGGTAAATTTAGCCCTGGCTGCGGTTACCCTCGGAGGTCTGCTGGTCACTCTGGTCCGCTCAACGTCGGACTTTTTTTTTAAATTTTGCACTAACTCTGTAAACAGACCACACAGGGAGGCTTAAATGTATAATGTTATCGCCTCAAACGATTTCAAAACGTACTTTTGAAGAACAACAGCAGCAGAAAAGGGAATGTTTAACTTAACACTGTGAGCGCTGTCTGGAAACAAGCTGCGGCCGCGGGGCATTCTGGGGAAGCGGTCAGTCTGAAGAACGCACAAGCCTGCTCTGATGCATGCTCGATAAAGAGGGCGGGGTGAGAACAACATCCGGGGATTTGATGCGTTCTCGATCTGCCGTTCTTGAGAATTGGAACGGTACTCGGGCTGAGGCTGATGACGTGTCACGAGTACACGAGAACGCTCAAGAACGCATATTGAGAAACGGCTTAAATGTAGCGAAAATTGGCTCCAGCCAAGAGTTTCCTCCATGGCTAAAACCAGGGAACATACATGAGGCTCAGTGGATTTAGTGCAAGAAGCGATTCAAGCTCGGAACGATGGGAATTAAGGCAGTGGAGTCGCACATGCGAAGCATGAAACACAAAGCGTCAAAATGAAGTTACAGAGAAACATCTGGTATTTCTCAGTTTAGTTCCACCCTTGTCTCTGCAACTTATCACCAAATCAAACATACTAAGAAAACGAAACAAAGAAAAATAGCTGCAAAAAGACTTAGCACTGGTTATGTTGTGGCTTTAAAACTGATTTGTTTTGTTCCCTGCTAAAACAAAGTTTGTGAATTCAGTTAAATAATTGTTCAAATATATCTGTCATTTGTGTGTTTTTAGCTTTCTTCCTGTATGGGAAGCTTTTCAAAATTTGAAACATTAGTGCAGTGGTTTATGTTAAAATAAACCTTTGGGTTAAGTTGTTGCAAGCAGGTTGTTCTTGTGTTTCTTGTGAATTTGGTCTTAAATTTTTATTTCAAGTGGCATTAAAAAGTCTTGAATTTAACTTGCCCTATGCTGTAGGAACCCTGTAGAGAGGAAAACAACAAGGAAAGGGACAAAACCTAGAACAGATAATGGATGTCTATTCTATTAACATTTCTCTATCTGTAGAATGGACCTGTTTTATGTGTTGTCTTCTCAATTCAGAGGGCCCCCTGCCTGTCTTTGCCTAGGGCCCCAAATTTCCTAAATCAGGGGGGTGGGATCAATATTAGGGTTACTCTTTCTGCGGAGTAGAGCAATGCAATAGTTTAGCTTTGAACTTTAGCTTAATCTTGTGCTTCTTTAGAAGTCCGAATAGAGAAATCAGAAATGTCATTCCACCCTAAGCAGACCTGAACAGGCTGCGCTGGCAGAGCTTCATCATATACATCCCTCCCTCCTCTCCCTCTACCCCACCCTCCGCTCAATGGCCCCCTCTGTTCTCTAGCCACGTGGAGAAAACTCTCCTGGAATCTGGTGTCAACCTGCACTTAGAGCTTCTTTAAACAGTCCTCTGAGGTGACCCCCAGGCACTCTGTGCTTTTACTTCTCTCCACTTTCACCTGACAAAGCGTAAAGTAGGTGGGCTGAATAGAGGCATTCAGGGAAGATTACGGTTCACTCTAAGCACCGTGCTGAGAACGACGGGGTCACGGCGGGGATGACAGGACATGATCCTACAGATTTCAAGTCTGGCCCTCTTCTTTCAGAGGGTTTAACTACAGAGGTATTCACCCACTTGGCATTTTTCCTTGTCCTGTTACCTCACTACCCTGAATAAAAATAGATTTTCTTTGAGTTTGCAGCGTTTCATGTAACAACTTTGAAGGGTCTTCATTTTTTCATGTGAAGCAAATGAGAAAAGGTCCAAAAAAACATTGTGCAAACCTCTCAGGTTGATACATGTTGTTTTTAAATGCAGACTCTTAGTGGATCAGGTCTTTGATGCATTTGAAAAAGGAATGGATTTGCATATGTACATTTTAAAATATATGGAAAGTCACTTGTTTTAATCATATTAACCAAACTGTATTCCTCACTAGCATGGACAATTATTGCATTTGCAATATAATCACAATTTATAAAAAGGCCATTTTCAAATCGCAGAGGTACTGCTGGTGTAGATTCTCAGTCATCCAGGTCACAGTCATTCCAAAAAAGCAAAAAAATTAAATAAAATGCACTGGACTTTGATTGCAAGTTTCTCTTCCCATGAAAGCTTTTTTAATTCAAAATTCACAAACACGGTAGCCCAACAAACTTTTTTTTTGTTTAGAAAACATGCAAACTGAAACGGACAAACAGTTCCACCCCTTTGATTTGGAGGTCGTTTGGCTTTTTTTACTAGCTTGCAATGCCCCATACTTGTCTATGTCTCTGAAAGGGGCATTGCAGGCTAACGAAGAACCCAGACAACCCCCATTCCAAAGGGGTGGTCCCATTTGTCCGTTTAATTTGTATCTTTAGTAAGAAAAATAAGGTTTTGTTGGGGTGCTGTATAAAACCTCCAACTCAATGCTATTTCTGACATCTTCATTTCATCGTTTTTTCTTGTTTGGTCCTACCCAGTCAGCTCCAATAAGACTCTCTGCTTCCCTGCAGATTGTTAATTAGCGTCCGACATTCAATCAGGGGCCAATAAAAGCAGCCCTGACCAGTACCTTTCTCCACTGGTGCAGCGGCGGCCATCTTTATGCTCCATTGGCTGCCGTCTCATTCAGAGCAGCTGCTAGTTCAGCCTAGGGGTGTAAATAATAATCGCTTTGTATCGATGCATCAATCCAACAGCTGACGATCCGATGCATCGACACGTCTGCAAGAGTATCGTTTCGTGTTTTTTTTTCCTCCGCTCTATTTTTATCCATTTGCTCCTGGATGTAATTCTGACTCCCGTGCTGCGGTGGCGCTAAACCTATTTTGCCCTCCTACCTCGCTTCCTTTAGCCACTACCCTCTTTCTGCATGCACACACACGTCGCGTAAACAGTAGGCAAGACAGACAGGGCGGAGATAGCGGAGGTGAAAAAAGAGGTAGGCAAGACAGACGTGGTAGAGGTTTGAGTATCCAAAATAATCGAATGGTTGGGTCAGGAAATCGATACTGAATCGAATCGCCAGGATGGTTGTGATTTACACCCCTAGTTCAGCCTGTGCTTCGGGTTTCTGAGCCCACTTCTAGGTCTGCCTTTCTCTCTGTGGGGTTGTTGCTGAAGCTGCTTGGTGCTCCAGCACTAAAGCCTTTGGATATCTGGTCTCCTTGGAGCAGGTCAGGGTCACACCTGCTGTTGAGTATATCTTCCTGCTGAAGAAGCCTTTTTACACTTATATGCACAAGTACACCCGTGTGTACACCACAGGCGAACAGATCCAGGTGTTCACAGATACAGTTATGCTTCACACTAAGCTGCAGCTTCATCTATCGCTGAATTAGGTTTAATCTGTCTAGGTTTTGCCATCAATGTTTGCGTGTTTTTCCTGCCTCTCTATGGGATACTCCCTCTTATGTCATGGTTGGAGTGTTGTGATTTTCTGCTAGTTTCTTGAGGTTTTGGAAACATATTTGTAGAAGTTATTCTGTATTTGTTTCTCCTTTGTTTTCTCTCTCCTTATTTCTTATCCCCTCTCCCTTTCTCTTTTATCTTTCCATCTGTGTCCATTAAATATGTTTTAGTTTTCCCAAAGCCACTTCTAATAAAGTTAATAGTAAATTACATGATTACATATTTCATTTATGAAGTAACTTTTCTGTGTTTTGAGACAATATATCGTAATATATTGTTACTAATTAAGAAAACACTGCATGGAATCCATACTAAAAGTATATGTGCCCAGAGAGATGAAAACGGCGTATATATATATATATACCCCCAAACATTCAGCTTGATAAAACCGACCACACCTTTTCCTCTCTAAGTCTCAGGTGTATCCAAACATCTGCATAAAAGGTTTGCAATTACTACATTGACATTTCATAGTAAATTTCTTTCTATTTACTCTACTGTCTATTATTTAACATTACACACTATTACCCCATTTACACTACCCTTGAAAAACCGTGCCGAGACCGGTCCAAGCTCAGTAACTGAGATAACTTGTCGTGTGTAAACAGAAAGCAAACTGAACCGAACCGAGCTAACTGCAGACTAGTTCCAGAGGTGGGCTCGGCTCAGTTTTTCCCTGCCTCGGTTCTCTGATAACAAGAGCTCATGAGCAGAACGCGTCATCTCCGTCTGGCTGCACATCCCGATTCACACTCCATTCCAGTAGTTGGCGGTAATGCCCCTCCGGAAGTTGCTTGCCAACCAACATAAAACAAAAGAACAACAACAACTATAAACATCCACGAAAGGTTGCCGTCTTCGCCTGACCCTCCTCAAACACCGAAGTACAGCAATAATAATCAAGCATAACTTTCTGAATGTAACGGGCGCCGCCATTTTGATTGGCTTGATTCCCTCCTTCTTCTTCTTCTTCTTCTTGTGTTTAATGGCGGTTGGCAAACTACTTTTGGTGCATTACCGCCACCAACTGCTTGATTTCCTCATTCAATACTGGCAGTAATACCACAGATCGTCACTAGGAGGCGAGGAGTCGAGGAACCGAGATAGTGTGATGTGTAAACGGTCATCACAACCGAGCTCGGCCTGATTAACTTGATCCGAGCTCGGACCGGTCTCGGCATGGATCTGTTTTTCAAGGGTAGTGTAGATGGGGTAAATGTCATTGGCTAACTCTGTCAATGTCTTCAAGTCAGTCTGAGATAGCCAGACTAATGTTACGCTACATACTATATAGGAAACATCGGCTTATATATGGATTTTCTTGGTTAGTTCATCCACTGACATTGAAACTACCTGTGGAACATCTTCCCACAGCCGGCATACTGCTTGTTTTTGCAGCCCAATGCTACACAGATAGGCGTTTTTACTCCGTGGGAGTTGGGAGTACCAATATGGCGACCGATGGCTATACTTTTTTTGGGCAATCAGTAATGCAGTGAACAAATAGAGATCAGTGGGTTTACTTGATGGACAATGGCAACCAGCCGTGACTAACTGAGAACTGATTTAGCTTTATGTGGTAAATGTAACTTTTTAATGGAAATATTTTGTCTTATTGTGATGTGTGGTCAGACTTTTTAACAGTTGGGAAATGATTTCTAGAAAGGGCTCATATGATAACTGCGTAGCCTTTGTGGTTGCCTCCTTCATGAAAGCTTTAGGTGTATTACTCAACAATGACTCTTTTCTATGACAGGTTGCCTCTTCGCTGGAATCCTTGGCCTCTGTAAATATTTATCAGACTGATCCCACGGCTGGGGACGCAGCTCTGCTGAGCAATGAAAGGTGCTGGGTTTCCCAGCACTATGAGGACCAGCTGCTGGAAATGTGATTCCTGCCATTGCTCCACATTTCTCTGGCTCGTCTGTCAGTTTGTTCATATGGAAGGAGCAGCCTGGGGTCCGGCTCGGCTCTGTGGGGGAGGGGGTCCCACCCAGCCACTGGAATGTGTTACATCCTCTTTCTGGCCCTCTGACTCCTGTAGGGTCGTTGACTTTACCTCCATCTTTCACACACCTTCTTAAAACAGAATTGTGTGTCAGTGATGATGAATAGAATGAGTTCAGCTTCCAACAGGGCAGACTTCCAGAATATGCAGATCATATACTGAGGACAGAACCTAGTCAAGGTTTAGATTTGGGACTGAATTAAAGGAGAAGTCTGGTCATATTCAGAATTCAAACTTCTGAAAGTACTTTAAATATGAAATTATTCCATCCTGTTCAATAAATTATCAGTGTTTTTAATTAAAAGTAATTTTCATGTGAATGTTCTTTACTGGAGGCATCCATGTTTGTCAAAGAACTCTACTGCCACCTACTGGTTAGTGACGTCACGGTGCGGTATCGGCTGTTGATCAAGTCCCAGTGCTGTATCTGGTGTTTGTCACAACGCGCTATTATCCAAGTCATCTTGAAAACATTCTTCTTCCAAATGTAGGCAACATATTACGTGTTTTTCTCTGGCCAGAAGTTCGATGGCAAATCATCCCTCTTCAAGTTGGCGATCCAATAGGCTATGTGCACGATGTTGCTACGCAACTTCCGCTAAGTGAAAGTGGTAAGGGCGAATACTTCCGGTTCGGCTGTTCACCCACGGCAAGCAATGGCATTCTACACTCGCTGCCTGCAGGACCTCCCAAGATTAACAATCAGCGACGTCCTCCGGTTTATACGGACTTTATCTTCTGCTCCACGGAGTAAAAAAGAAAAAGGCTTTAAGTTTTACGTTTCAAACTACATTGACAACTTTGAAGGTAAGTAATGCAGCAGTTGGTCACTGCTAAGCCAATGCTAACTGCTAACTACCGAGATCATTTTTTATACTGTACATACATATACTGTCTCGTTTTCACTTATAATATATATGTTTTAACACAACTTCAAAGCCATTTTTTCAGATCCTGTTTCAATGTTTTAACCACAGTTTCCAACAAAGACTCGTCAGGGAGCGTGAGCGTCAGGGCGGTCTGTTACAGATCGATGCGCAAAAATGATAAGCCTCATGAACTCAGAGTAGGGTGAAATCACAAAAAATGCTTGTTATATACAAAAAGGACTATATTTTGGGGGTCTTATGTAGCTCGTGTGCAGCAGAAGTTGTAAGTATTTCCAGCTGTTGTGTGTTGAAGTGGTAGTAACAGTGGTTTTTCCCTCTGGGATTAATAAAGTATGTCTGACAGCACACATACAAATTAGCTAACTTTAGCATTAGTTTAGCTACACGAGAGCCCCAGAAGCTAGTTTGTTATGACTACAGATTTTCGTTATATTGTAAGTTCAAATATATATGACTTTGTTAATGCTAAGGCCAGTTCCTAGGCCTGTTCATTCTGCTCTTTTCCTTCTTTTTACTTCATTTAAAGATTGGAGTGTAGTTTCCTATGTGAGTGACGTCTGTTGTTTACGTTGCGTGTGTTTGGTTGGCAATAATATGTTCAGAAATGTGCATCTTATTTAAGGGATAACGTCAGGTAAGGATTACTTTTTGTAAACAAAGTTTCTTCATTGTACTATTACTTATTAAAAATTTGCATTCTGCCTACCAAAGTCACTCGAATAAGCCTGCTCAAAGTTGTGGTTTTAGACACTTTGTGATGCATAAAAAAAGCTTGAAATTGATTAAAAACATTGATCAGCAAAAGCGCATTGTGCTGCAAATATAGTTCTAACTCTGTAGTCAACTGCAAGCTTTTATTTGCATCTTTGCAAATAGTTATGAAAAACAAATTGGAATGTCATCCCATTCAATTCATCTTTAACAACACACCTGAGCATAAATAAGCCATAGTTAAAAAAAAAAGAAGTCCTGCACTTTCTTCCAGTCTTTTTTTCCACTTGTCAGGACTTTCTGCTTGCTAAACAATTATGATATAACCGTTGCATAGTTTGACAGCTTATTTTTTTATTTAGATTACATTTGAGGACTGTTCCCCGGTGGAGATCGCAGACGTTGGGTGTTCCTGTGTGGCTGGTACAGTGCTGTGCAATCACAGTGTTGCATTGCTTTACCAAACTGCACACTACTGTGCTCTGAATTTGACTTCAGTGCCACCAGTACTAAGCTGTACGGAAACTGAACAGAGCTGGCACAAACCAAGGACCATGGTAAGTGAATCACAATAAAATGCTTTGTGTAACACACCCTAAAGTTCTATTTAAAACAACATAGTGACCCGTAAATCCATATAGACATGTTATCTGGACAACAGATTCTTGCTGATCTATAAAACGTTGATATTACATCACCACCATGAATACATGAACAGTTAAACAAATAAGTCAGTAATGTTTTTTTTATTCTTGCCTAAGTACATGGATAATTAATATATACATTTGATATTCTACATTTACATTGTGTACCTTTCTGTGTGTGTTATCACTGTTATTATTTTTAAGCATTTAATTTAATTATTTTACAGGGTGTGAAACCAGGCCGTGTGCGTGACATGGTTTTTAAGTCTGCAAGACCAAAACAGCAGCGCACGGTCGGAAATGGTGTAAGGTAATTATTTTTAATGTAATTACTTATATTGAAGGTTGAAATAACTGAATGTTTTTTGAATACCTATTTTGAGTGACAGGATTTAATATGATTTTTTTTTTTTCTTTTGAAGGAGCAAACGTTACAGGGCAGTGCGAGGTGACACACCAGACCCTGATGTTCTCAGGGTAGCAGAGGTGTACCAGGACTTTCCAGCTGACCTTGCACCTCTCATTACTACGATGGCAATTAGTGCTGATGTGCCTTTAGTGGATTCAGCCTTTTGGTAAGGTACAGGAAGGCAGTCCTTTAGCTTTCCAGCATCCACTACCGGTCAGCCGGATAATAATTCGTCATGTGGATTCCCCTACACCGCTGTCACTGCCTCTTGACCACTATAATCTTGAGCCCACCTGTGTCCAGTTTGTCTGCAGCCAGCAGCAACAGCTTCAACTGGAGTGTCTTGCCACAACGCTGGAACAGTCCCGTGAAATTGAAATTGCCACCAGGGAGCAGAGCGCAACAGTCCAATGGCATAATATCCGGAGGCCCCGCATTACTTCTTCTCGGTTCCGGGAAGTCTGCCATGTGAGAGGAGCTACGTCTGCTTTGAGCTTAGCCTAGCGGATCAAGAAGGGTACAGCAGCCACAGCCGCCATGAAAAGGGGCTTAGCACTTGAACCTTCGGCTATCCAAGAATACTGTAGGATCAAAAACACCAACTTTTGGCCCTGTGGGTTCGTCATTCACCCTGATGCCCCATGGTTGGGCTCTTCTCCTGATGGTGTGGTTTTTGACCCGACAGAGAGGCCAACATTGGTTTGTTGGAGATAAAATGTCCCAATACAAAAAGTTATGTGGATTGTCGCTATTTAAAAAAGTGCAATGACACAATGAAGCTTGCGTCAAGTCACAGCTACTACTGGCAGGTGCAAGGGCAGCTTCTAATCACAGGCATGGAGTGGTGTGATTTTGTCATATATGCAGAGGATGACATTCTTGTCCAACGCATTTATAGAGATCCAAGTGTATGTGAAACAATTAGGGCAAAGGTTGACCATTTTTTCTTTTATGTCTACTTTTCCAATTTGTAGTTTATAAAATGTCATGGTTGCAGGTCAAACAAATTTTGGTTTGTTTGACCATGTTTATTGTGTATAGATTAGTAATGATTTAGTTAACCAATTTACTTCTGTTCTGAATGCTTTCCACCTTATGCCATGTTGTGGATTAAGTAGCTTTAATAGCACAATAAAAGTTTGTTGTTTGAGTATTACAGTTTGTTTATTGATATAAATTTCCCCCAAAAGTTTTTTAATGGAAACAGTGATTAAGAAATATTTGTTTTATAAAATATTTTATTTGTGGCCTTCACAAACAAGTAGCACACTTTACAAGGCAAAAACAAGTACTTCAAAACGGTATCCTGTGAGGGGGGAAAAAACATCTCATAAATTATTGAGGTGACTAGCTCATTCCTGTGAGAAGTTGAGTGTTTCAGAAATAACCACAATTCTCAATTCAGTCACTAGGGGGCAGTGAACATGAGACAGGGGAACGTTCATTATGTTCACATTTTAATAATTTAATAACAACTACATTAGTTTGTGGAAAATCGACTAAGCTAACTAAAAATTGATTAAAATAGTCTAAAAGATTACTAAACCAGATCAAACAACTTTGAAACTATAGATATTTTAGCAAGTTGCCCAAGCCTTCACAAGCGGCCCATTTTGGTAATTTACCAGGTAACAAGCCACATTGAACAGTTCATCAATGATCCCACATGCAGCCAGTGGGATAACGCCATCAAAAAATTTGTTCTCCTTCACTCTCCGGATGCAGCGCTCTACATGGATCCTCAAGCGAGCAATGTTTTGGGTCTGAAGGACATCATGTGGGTTCATCTGCCTTTTCCCGGAGTGGAAAGGTGGTCTGTAGACCTTGCAGGGGGCCAAATTGTCAACTAGAAATCCCCTGTCAACCATTATCGCCATGTCAGGCTCTAGTACACTGATGATGCCAGATTGTTTGAAGATCTCGCGATCATTCATTGATCCAGCGTAAAGGGCAGAGACAAATGTGATGGCACCATGAGGTGCTATGCCAATCATGGCCTTCAGTGTGGAGTGGGATTTGTATGTTGAAAACACCTCACTCTGCAACATGAGGTCTGATGGTGTCTGGCAGTAAATTTCAGTGCAATCAAGCACTACTTGGGTGTCTGGAAACAATGCAAACTCCAAAGGAAGTCTAGTACGCACCACTTCACGAGGCAACCAGAGGCGTTGGCGTCCAAGCAGATCGTACAAGAAGTTGGCCCATGTGGTAATGATCCTGCTCACTGTCGTTCGGTGAATGCCAAACCTTTCACCGAGATCTCTGTGTGTAGAGCCAACGGCCAGGTACATCAGGAAAAGAAACAGCTCATCTATAGGAGGAAGTTTCTTTGAAAGAAGAATAGACAATTAAATACTATTAATTCTGTGTGTGTGTATTATATATATCATATATACATATATGTACCATATATATATATATATATATAATATATATATATATATCTACAGATATCTCTATATCATATAGAGATAGATATAGATATCTCTATATGATATAGAGATCTCTATAGATATAGAGATTTCTATATCATATAGATATCTCTATATGATATAGATAGATATCTCTATATGATATAGATAGATATAGATATATCTATATGATATAGATATCTATATCATATAGATATATCTATCTATAGATATAGAGATATCTATATGATATAGATATAGATATATCTATATCATATAGACATATCTGTATCTATATAAAGATACAGATATCTATAGATATAGCTATATCTATATAAAGATATAGAGATATCTATAGATAGATATAGCTATATCTATAGATATAGATATCTATATCATATAGATATATCTTTATCCATAGATAGATATATCTATATGATATAGATATCTATATGATATATATAGATAGATATATATTTATGACTGTCGTAGATTCATACCGTGGATGTGGGAAATCTTTCTGAGCTAGCTGTTGAGGACTTGGTGTTGGTGACACGGATCATCTTTGTCATCACAGCAGGCTCCACCAGCTTCCAAAAATACTGGAAATGTCGGTATGAGGCAAACCTGTTGATATGGTTTTAGAAAAAAATATATTTGACAAATACTGCATAATTGTTGTCATTATCTCCAACTGTAAACCAAATGTTAAACTGAATAACGCAGAGATCTGTTCTAAAGCAATGTGTATCATTTTAATCCCAATTTAATATCACTGCCCCATTTAATTTTTAACAAGTTGTCATGTAAACAATGGAGTGTTAACGAGAAGAAAACTCAGTGATGCGCGTCCGTTTTATAATATTTCTGTATTTACTGCACTGGTAAAGCAATAAAGAAATTATAGTTTATACAGTGCATGTAGCATAAAGAGGAACAACAATGATAACACATACTAACCTGGTATAATGCCGAATGTCGTCGTCTGAGCATTTAAAACGTTCCAGACAGAAACGAGTCCGCAGTTGCAGCCGCTGAACTTCATGCTGCAACATCTGAACTTGTTTTTGCAGGGCCTCGTTTTGCATCACTAGCTCGTTGATCCTAACTCCACTTGCAGGTGAAACACAGTAATCGTGTTCAGGAGCCACAAACACCATCTCCGAACAGTCCACAGTCGGCGCTGCAGCAGCGGGGCTTGTCGCCTCTTCCTCCCTGGGTCTACGTTCCCACACACTGGGTCTTGGCACGGGCAAAGAGTAGTTATTCCATTCAAATAAAACGGGAATAGCACCCTTTTTTAAGCACCTCTTTCCCCTTGGTGTCTCTAACAGATCATCAGGCAGGAAATGTCGACTGCATACCCGTGTCTCTCTACGGGGACTGAAATCTTGCCTCCGAATTTTGGTTAGCCACTGCTGGCGCACTACAATATCCACAGGGAAGCGATGAAAACTTACTTTACTGTTGTACCGTGATGAACATGTACATCTAGGCACACAGCAGTGCAGTGACGATCCACTAACCAACTGGTAACAGGGTTTCTTCCTCTGGACTCCAGACAAACTCATTTCTCTTCTCTCCTGACCACAACAATGCTATTTCCACCGGAAGTGAATGCCATCACCACGCTAACCCGGAAGTTAGCGAGCGCCATATTGTGCACATAGCCTATTCAATTCAGTTCAGTTTATTTCTATAGCTCCAATTCACAACATATCATCTCAGGGTACTTTCCAGTTCACCAGATCATCCAGTCAGATTGATTCAAAGTTTTCTATCTAAGGAAAACCAGTTGACTGCATCGACTCATTGACTCGAAAGCAATCCCTCACACTAAGCATGCTTGTAGCGACAGTGGAGAGGAAAAACTTTCTTTTAACAGGAAGAAACCTCCAGCAGAACCAGGCTCAGTGTGAGCGGCCATCTGCCAAAAACAAACCCGTCCGTGGAGGATCAGGAATCAGAAATGTGAAATGACTCTTTTTTTCCACTTTTACCTGATGTATTCCAGCATCCAGCTGCCATGCACGTGGGCATTGTCAGTTTCACTATAGCTCTGGTGAATTTCAATGGTGAAGTCCTCTGGAAATCTTCAATCATTGTTGTTGATTGCAGATGTGTCTAGTAGTTCCCATTGATTTAGCTTGTAAAGCGGGGAGAATGGCGCTAGGCTTACCGCACCGTGACGTCACTGCTGGAAGATGGCAGGAGGGAGGGGTTACTATATTTGGGCAAAAATGGCCGCTCCCAGACTCAGTGGTCGCTACAAAGATTATTGTTTTTTTTTTTTTTTACTGATTTTTTTTTTTTACTGTTTTTTTTTTACTGAACGCTAAAATCATTAAATCACAGTGAACGTATTAGTTTAAGGTATAAATAATGATCTATTGATTATTTCTTGCTGACCGGACTTCTCCTTTAAGACTCAGTGACAAGACTTGAAAAGTGATGCTTACAGAAACAGTCTATCCTGTCTGAGCTGAGTTATTCTTCCAAACAGATTGACCCAAAACTTCATTCTCCAGCTGTGTTGACCTGCTAGAGACGTGCAACCTAAAGCTGTTATCTATATAATTCTCATTTAAAATTATTTTGCAATGCTCTCTAAATCTATAATTTCCCAGAAAAGTGAAACGGCGTCTCTCGCCGTCTGCTTTCCATCATCCTCGTTCTCTTTACCAGCTGCAGAGTTCAGCAGAGTCTGCAAGACGTAGGAAGCTGAAGCTTGCTTTGTCCTTGTAAATCTGCAGGTAGCGTATTTTGGAGACAGCATGAGGTCGGACGTATTCCCCGGCAACACCTTTGGGAAGTGGGAGACTGTGATGATAGTGGAGGAAATGGAGGGGGAGGGCGTTCCGAAGAGCGACGCAGCAAAGTCCAACGAGGCCCAAGTGGAGCCGCAGGAGAAAAGGGGAAAGTTTGAGGTAAGCTCACTGAGGAGAATGTTTCCATTTAGCAAACATCCCTCACCCCCCCACACACACAGCATGCTCACATTAACATGATGAAAATGTGTAAAACAGCCGATTACCTGCTGGAAAAGAAACATGAAATATAGTTTCATTTATTTAGTTAACAAAGGAGGTCAGTGAAAATAAAAATAATCTTACTGGCCCTTTAATTATTAGTCTTTATTAGTCTGAGAGAAGGAAGCTCTGCTTCTTTCTGACAGAATGTCCTGCTAACTTTGTCTACCTTCTTTGCAGCCTAAGGTATCAGTGGAAAAGCTCAGATGAGCAAAGAGGCAACAGCAGTGCTAAAAACAAAAGCCCCATATCTGTCAGAGAGACAGGCGCCTACAGCCTGAGCGGACAGACTTCCACTGACATGGTGATATGAAATATAAGGGAAGCCAAACACGTGATGGATCGCTGCCTTCTATCTAACAAAGCATGAGAGGATATTCATAATCAGGGAGAATGAAAAGTCAGCATTAGTGCGACAGTGGAAGGAACTTCCTATTTTGCTGGATCACAGGATGTTTCTCTTGGGCTGATATGAGACTCTTTGGACTGTTGAGACCAAGTAGAGCTTTTTCAGGTGTTTGTCCTGTTTCCTCTCTAAATGTAGCACAGCCGTTCATAAAGAGAACATCATGCAAAACGCCATAGTACTCTTGGAATATTTTGCTGCTTTAGGAACTTAACTACCACTACCTTGACTAAACTATCTGTAATTAATGGAAGCCTTATCATTTTGTCTTGAGCATAAAATCAATACAAATGTCCAAAGATGGGATGGCTCAAAGAAAGCAATAGTAATACATTAAATTAAAATACATTCTTATTCCCATTTTGAAGCAATGCATTAGAAGAGCTTGATGCAAACAGTAGAATGAGAATCAATGCACTAAATTTAGCAGAAATCCCAAATGCCAACTGCTCTCTCTCTACGTCTCTGGTTGGCATTTGTATTCGAGTTGAGGGGGGTGGTGGAGGGGTTTCTTAAAACAATCTGAAAAATCCTCCCCCTTCTTATATGACCATCCCCCTTTTACTATCCCCTGTGACATTTTATCACTGAATTAGTAAAATGTATACTATATATTAACCGTAATGGCATTAATATTGGCCTTTCAACATTTAGCGGGCTGTGAGCTGACGAGTAGCCTGAGCAAACAGATAAAATAACCATGACTATGAAGCTGATCCCAGTGGGAGATTAGTCCCTAACTATGTGGGAGCAGTGATAGCCATGCTAATTCTGTAGGGGCAGTGATAGCCATGCTAACTATGTAGGGGGCAGTGATAGCCATGCTAACTATGTAGGGGCAGTGATAGCCATGCTAACTCTGTATGGGCAGTGATAGCCATGCTAATTCTCTAGGGTCAGTGATAGCCATGCTAACTACATAGGGGCAGTGATAGCCATGCTAACTACGTAGGGTCAGATATAGCCATGCTAACTACATAGGGGCAGTGATAGCCATGCTAACTACATAGGGTCAGTGATAGCCATGCTAACTATGTAGGGACAGTGATAGCCATGCTAACTCTGTAGGGTCAGTGATAGCCATGCTAATTCTCTAGGGTCAGTGATAGCCATGCTAACTACATAGTGGCAGTGATAGCCATGCTAACTACGTAGGGTCAGTGATAGCCATGCTAACTACATAGGGGCAGTGATAGCCATGCTAACTACATAGGGTCAGTGATAGCCATGCTAACTATGTAGGAGCAGTGATAGTCATGCTAACTATGTAGGAGCAGTGATAGCCATGCTAACTATGTAGGAGCAGTGATAGCCATGCTAACTATGTAGGAGCAGTGATAGTCATGCTAACTATGTAGGAGCAGTGATAGTCATGCTAACTATGTAGGAGCAGTGATAGTCATGCTAACTATGTAGGGGCAGTGATAGCCATGCTAACTATGTAGGGACAGTGATAGCCATGCTAACTATGTAGGAGCAGTGATAGTCATGCTAACTATATAGGGGCAGTGATAGCCATGCTAACTATGTAGGAGCAGTGATAGTCATGCTAACTATGTAGGAGCAGTGATAGCCATGCTAACTATGTAGGGGCAGTGATAGCCATGCTAACTATGTAGGAGCAGTGATAGTCATGCTAACTATGTAGGAGCAGTGATAGTCATGCTAACTATGTAGGAGCAGTGATAGTCATGCTAACTATGTAGGGGCAGTGATAGCCATGCTAACTATGTAGGGACAGTGATAGCCATGCTAACTATGTAGGAGCAGTGATAGTCATGCTAACTATATAGGGGCAGTGATAGCCATGCTAACTATGTAGGAGCAGTGATAGTCATGCTAACTATGTAGGGGCAGTGATAGCCAGGCTAACTATGTAGGAGCAGTGATAGTCATGCTAACTATGTAGGGGCAGTGATAGCCAGGCTAACCTTGTACAGGCAGTAATTGCCATGCTAACTCTGTAGGGGCAGTGATAGCCATGCTAACTCTATAGATAGCCATGCTAACTCTCTAGGGGCTGTGATAGCCATGCTAACTATGTAGGGGCAGTGATAGCCATGCTAACTCTGTAGATAGCCATGCTAACTATGTTGGGGCAGTGATAGCCATGCTAACTCTGTAGATAGCCATGCTAACTATTTAGGGGCAGTCATAGTCATGCCAGTCCAGGGACTGACAGGAGTTCTACTGGAAGGTGCCTTGGTCAAGCTCAATGACCGGCGCACCTAACATGTGCTATGAATGCTTCCCAAAAAAATTCCCCTATCCTCCTTTTTTTCTTTTTTCCACAACTACTAGAGGGCATGAACCATCACCAATACCAGCTGATATGATACATGATTGCAACTCGTTGCTCCTTTACTGATCCGTGTTCCGCTTTAGCTCGCTAACTCTACTTCCTGTTTATTACAGTAATAGTCATTCAAAATTACCCCACTTTCCTTGGTCCCCTACAATTCCTTTTCATTTGTACAAAAATATTATTTCTGTCATGATTTGTGGACATTAAAATCTAAAGAGAAGAGGTATTACAGACCCTGTAATTCAGAGAGGTGGAGTCAGTGTTTAAAAGATATGTAAGAGGGGGTCACTGCAGTGGCTGGGAGTTGGAGGGGGTTTTGCTGCCATTCGGCTGGCGTTTGACAGGGAACGGCCATTTTGAATGGCTGCTACTGTAGAGCCACGCTCAACATATAATGACATTACGCTGATTATTTGATCTATTGTATGGAAACATCTGTGATTTTCTTTGTTTGTTTTTTTTACATCTTTAAATTTTTATCCAAATTTGCCAGAGAATTGACAGTAAAAACGACTGATGTCAATAACTCATCAGCTAATTTTTTGGAAATCTGCTTGTTAATAAGTGTACTCCTCCCAGAGGAGCCTAGGGTGTAGCGTGGGTTTTTGGACAAGCCCATCTAACTAGAACACGGTAGTTAGAACACTCAATACACTCTGCAACTTGTGAGAGAGCCACAGTCACGTACTATGACTATGAAAAATATTAATATATGCCAAAAATTCATCCTGATAATTTTTATTTTTTTTTATCATAAAAATAATTTTCCACCAGGAGCAATCAGCAGACATGAACATTGCTGAATCACCATGAAATTATCAATATTTTCCGCAGCATATAGTATACAATTTTTGATCGTGAACACCAATTGGTCATCTTCTGAACTTTTCCATCCCATGACTAAGAGGCTCCTGATAGCACTGGTAAGACCAGGAGCTCCACCAACCTGCACCTGCTGTACCTTCAGCAGCTTTAGCTGCTGCTTCAGTGAACATCCATCTGCATGTTGCATTCAGAGAGCGACTCGCATAGGATCCATCCTAGCATCTAAATATTTTTAAACCTTTTCCACACTTGATCTACTGGCCTAGTAAACGCCTAGGTCCTGTCACTACCCGATTCGTCCTGATAAACATCCCGGTGTCCAAAAATAATTATGGTCATAAAATTACTTATTTCTATCCTTAACGAAATAAGAATAAAGAAAAAAAAATAAAGAAAAAAGAATACTAATACATATCTTTAAAAAAGGTTTTGTGAGACAATTTTGATGCTTTTTATATTTTCTCCATTAAAATGCTTCTGTGACGTCATCATGGGACATGCTCAGAGCAGTCCGGCAAAATAAAATTAAACCAAGTTTATCTGCATTTTAGTTGTTTCTTTCTTTAGATTATGGACAGCATTGCATAATAACACGAAAGGAAAACATAAAACTCAAAAAGACTAGATTTATATTTAACTCCAAAGCTGAAAAGTTAGCTCGTAGCTCCTAGGATCCCACTTCCGGGGCAGATCGGGCACAGAGTGATAAAACAGAAAGGATTTTAAGGCACTTATTTTCTGAGGAAATACATTATTAACCTTTATCACATTATAATTTAGTATATTTTGTATTTTGGGGAAGTCGTAGGGAAACAGCTGTTCAACCGTTGCGTTTCAGAATTCTCCCGAGTGGCGCACAACTTTACACGAGTGAATAAAGTGAATGTGATTGGTCGATTATCAAGGGGGTGAGATTGTTGTGTCGGAAGGTTCACAAGCAAGTTTGATTGTGGCCAGTTTCTCTGGAGCATCTTGCTAACCAGTTAGCAACTTAGTGCTAGCAGGTTTCCAATGGGAAATTCCATTGGGACCAAGTAGCACTAAATTGGTGACTTAGAAATGACGCTGTCAAGGAACGCTATGGACAGCGGAAACATGCAAGAGGAGGAGAGTTTAGTGTCGAAGGTCGTGGATGAGTCTCCTCCATCGTCCATTTTTTATTTATAGGAGGAAAGCGGGGAGGAAGATGTTGTGGAAGAGGACGCCAGGGCGGCAGAAGCTTGGTTTGGTGTAGAAGGCTTACAGCCGTACATGTTTGAGCCCTTGCCTCGCAACGCTGCCAGTTCTGTTAGCTCTACGCCTGCTGAAGACACAGACGTCCATCCCCGTGAACACTGGGACGCAACTCAATGGGAAAGGAAAGGATTCTGATTTCAAACTTTACGGATATTAGCTGCGACATATGAATCAAGATGCTATGAGTGAAAACATTTGATTGACAGATGACTGTTGTTATACGATTGGTAGAATTTAGGTGTTCAGGCTGACATAGAACTAACTGGCCTGAAGAAGATAATGGAAAAAAAACAAAACACAGATTTCAAGACAGGATTTTTTTTTTTTTTTATAGAAATTTTCTAAATTTTGAGACAATATCGTCTGACAAAGAGTAGATTTATATAAATGTTTAAGCAAAAATGATTTGACATTTAAATATGATTTCCCTACTACTTTAACAAAATAAAATGGAGGGCAACCCAGATATACACTATATTGCCAAAAGTATTTGCTCACCCATCCAAATTATTGGAATCAGGTGTTCCAATCACTTCCATGGCCACAGGTGTATAAATTCAAGCACCTAGGCATGCAGACTGTTTTTACAAACATTTGTGAAAGAATGGGTCGCTCTCAGGAGCTCAGTGAATTCCAGCGTGGAACTGTGATAGGATGCCACCTGTGCAACAAATCCAGTCGTGAAATTTCCTCGCTCCTAAATATTCCACAGTCAACTGTCAGCTGTATTATAAGAAAATGGAAGTGTTTGGGAACGACAGCAACTCAGCCACGAAGAGGTAGGCCACGTAAACTGACGGAGCGGGGTCAGCGGATGCTGACGCGCATAGTGCGAAGAGGTCGCCAACTTTCTGCAGAGTCAATCACTACAGACCTCCAAACTTCATGTGGCCTTCAGATTAGCTCAAGAACAGTGCGCAGAGAGCTTCATGGAATGGGTTTCCATGGTCGAGCAGCTGCATCCAAGCCATACATCACCAAGTGCAATGCAAAGCGTCGGATGCGGTGGTGTAAAGCACGCCGCCACTGGACTCTAGAGCAGTGGAGACGCGTTCTCTGGAGTGACGAATCGCGCTTCTCCATCTGGCAATCTGATGGACGGGTCTGGGTTTGGCGGTTGCCAGGAGAACGGTACTTGTCTGACTGCATTGTGCCAAGTGTAAAGTTTGGTGGAGGGGGGATTATGGTGTGAGGTTGTTTTTCAGGAGCTGGGCTTGGCCCCTTAGTTCCAGTGAAAGGAACTCTGAATGCTTCAGCATACCAAGACATTTTGGACAATTCCATGCTCCCAACTTTGTGGGAACAGTTTGGAGCTGGCCCCTTCCTCTTCCAACATGACTGTGCACCAGTGCACAAAGCAAGGTCCATAAAGACATGGATGACAGAGTCTGGTGTGGATGAACTTGACTGGCCTGCACAGAGTCCTGACCTCAACCCGATAGAACACCTTTGGGATGAATTAGAGCGGAGACTGAGAGCCAGGCCTTCTCGTCCAACATCAGTGTGCGACCTCACAAATGCGCTTCTGGAAGAATGGTCAAAAATTCCCATAAACACACTCCTAAACCTTGTGGACAGCCTTCCCAGAAGAGTTGAAGCTGTTCTAGCTGCAAAGGGTGGACCGACGTCATATTGAACCCTATGGATTAGGAACGGGATGTCACTTAAGCTCATATGTGAGTCAAGGCAGGTGAGCAAATACTTTTGGCAATATAGTGTACATCTGGATGCGCAGGACGGATCGTGCTTCCTGTACGGATCGGGGTAGTGACAGGCACCTTTAAACTTCCCGTTCTTTTTAGTAATTGGTTTCTTTGGCAACATGATAAGTGACCTTTTTGATCCTGTTCTCCACTGAGTCAGTGTTATGCAACGCTTTCAGATAAGATTGCTTGCTCTATGCCAAAAAAATTTTTTTTTTATGATGATAACTTTTATGTGTTTTTACATCCTTTTTCAAAAGCACCACATCCTGCTTTCTCTTAGATCGCTTATTATCACTTCAGTGTTTGCCAGTAAAGGATATTGATCTTGCAGGGGGTGTGATGTAGTAAAACTAGGGGATTTCTCAGAAATAACGATTTGTTGCAGTCCTTGGAGCATTGAAGATCAGAAACCAGCTTGAAGTCTGTGCTTCTTGGGCTTCCCACCTCCCTTAAACAGGCCTAAACATGTCTGGAAAATGAGTCTTCAAACAAAGTAGCTCAGTCTGGTTTGTGTGTGAACTATGTGTGCAGGAGCAGGGCATGAAGTCCCCCTCTGCCGTGTCCGACCAGTGGGGCTCCTACTTTGTTGACGTGCACAGAAGTGGAGGGGGAGACGAGGAGCACCAGAAACTGACCTGGTGCTGTCACTGCATCCACACATACAGCACGATGGCCATCCCCAGTGTGGAGCACATAGCTGGTAAGTTGGTCAAAACATGAAAACAAGTGTGTAGATTTAGGTTTGTTAAAAAAATTAAAGATCATTGAAAGACGCTGACCGCTGCTTTCTAGGCAGGGGAGGCAAAGACATGCAGGAGGCCCTCTGAATTGAGAAGACAACACATAAAACAGCCCCATTCTACAGATAGAGAAATGTTAATAGAATAGACATCCATTATCTGTTCTAGGTTGTGTCCCTCTCTTCTTGTCCCTTTTCTTCTTGTTTTCCTCTCTATGTTTTGTACTCAGCTGACTTTTCATGCTGTCTCTAAAGGAATGAAAGATTTTTTCCAAGCACTAAGCTCACTTAGCTGATTGCTCCTTCCTGTGTTTCCAAAATGGCCAAAGTAAATAACCCAGTCCTTCTTTTCACTGTAGACAAGCCATGATCTGCTTCTCTGTTCTCCATTTTTCATTTGGATGAAATAATAGCTGCATGAATCATGACAGCAGACAAGATAGAGGAGAGCAGGAGGCGGGGTTACCAATCTACTTGCTCTGGAGAGCAGAGTTCTCTGCTTTTAGATGTTGGCGCCAAAGCCCCCAGTAGCAGAAAAAAGTCTCTAGGCGCTTTTTAGAAATCAAAGTTCTAGAGGGGTCTGAAAAGTGGCTAAATATAGCGACTAAAGTGCTAAGCTGGCAGCACTGCTCTTTGCATGGTTTGTTTTCAAATGGTTTGCTGCTGTCTGGTTGGACCTTTCTGAACATGTGCAGCAAATGGACTGATCCAATATGGTGGACACTGAAGGGGGGGGGGGGGGGGGGGGGGGGCTGAGACACACTTAATATTATAAGCGTTCTGATGACATTTTAGCAAAAGGATTTTTATCAAAAACATAATGTGCACAAATAAGGAGTAGTTTTATTGACCATACATGTAAACAGAGTTTTATGAGGCCCGCAGGAACTTGGAGCCCTAGGCAACTGCCTAGTATTGCCTAATGGTAAATCCCCCCAGTTTCTAGGATACATTTGTTTTGCTCTATTATCTTCAAATCAAAGCCAGACACCATTTTTATCCACCCTGCTGTTCCAAGGATGGTTACTGGTCCTTACTGAAAATAATGAGGAGGTACGCCTAGACTAAAACATACAGGGACGTGTTAATATAATGCCAAAAAGGTAAGAAATCAGCCGTGAACTTCGAGAAGCAATTTCCATAAACCAGGGACGGCTTTTAGGACCCTGAATGAATTTCTCAATTTTTCATGTAAAGAAATTCATTTTCGCAAAAAAAAAAAACAGAAAGGGTTTGTCCTCATTGGCACGGACGGACAAACACATGTATAGGATGTACATGCAGGTCCTGCATGTACATCCTAGTGTAGAGAATGAATGGAGACATTCAAGGATCCAGTTATCATGTCAGATGTTAAAGTTTGATTAGACAAAGATTTAGAGAGAAGGGACCACAAAAAATATTATATTTAGAGGAACACAAGCCCAGCCTTCATGCCAGATGGTGGAGGACTGAAGATAAGACCATTTGCAGTCATTATATAGATTATGAACATGTTTATGAAATGATACTGGAGTCCAAACTGAGACCTTTTGCTCTACAGTTGAGGCTTGGCTCTGAACGAGTCACTGACAGGACAAAGATGCAAAAAAACACAACAACAAATCTATGTGTTGAAAAGGTCTAGTCAAAGTTACTTTTACATTTAAGAGAGCTGTGCTTAAAGCAAAAGTCTACTCAGCAAGGATTAACCAATGGAACATTATTTATACCTAAAACCAAGGGCGTAGGTTTGATTTCAACTTTGGTAGGGACACTATTCTTCAGTTTCATTGGTCCTTTGCAAAAATATGCATGCTCTTTTTTATGCTTAATGTGAGCTTCAGGGCTCATTTTGTTGAAAGAGAACAGCAGCATTTCTTGCTACATTAATACAAATCTTATAAGCACTACATGCACTATATGCTGTTTATCAATATTTAAAGCATAACTGGCACTGATGAATGTGGAATTAGGACTTTTTCCACTTTGAAAAGGATTGCATTTAAATTTACCTGCGACTAAGACAGTGTCTGTTTAACCAAATATAGTCTATAATATGTGGATTTATCCTGTGTTTTCTTCTGAAGATAGAGAATTGTGCAGAGGTAAACCCCACTCTTATTTTTTTTTATCTAATATGCTCTCTCTGGATCATGCAAAATAATACATTCAAGGGACAGCAAATAAATGTATTGTATTTACATTTGCACTGGAACTAGAAGAGGAACTGACACTGAGCATTTAAAATATTAATATTAGAAGTTGTACATCTGGGCTGTAGTTACTCTGTGTAGCTAATTTCATGTATTTTATCTATGGCTGAAACAATTAATCATATTAACAAATTATTTAAATAATCGTGAACTAATTTAGTAATTGATTAATCGTAAACTGGAGTATAGGGCCACTAAAATGTGCCTTTAGCCGGCAGAGCGACTCACTTAGAGCAGGAATTATACCAAGATTGTAAAAAAATATGTAAACATTTAGCGTTTAAGAAGTAAAAATAAAAAAAAAGTTTTTCTCTGTCAATATTCTCCATCCAGAACTCATCCAAAGGAAACGTTTAAACGTTTCTGTTTCACCTGGTTTCATTTCATAAAAGATCTTCTTTAAGGAGCCTTTGGCTATCTGATTAAAAGATAAAATAAAAGAAATCATAACGTTGTTAACTTACATTTCTCAAGTTCAACAAATCAAAAAACTCTCTCCTGCTTCTTTACAGAACTCCAGTCAGAAGCTTTCGCCTGTTTTAGCGTAGAATATATTTTTTTTATTTGGACTAGTTTCGTAGCCCAATATTAATTTATTTTAGTGTCTTTTTTTTTCGCGCTCCAAGCACCCGCGCGCGCACACATACAGACTAGAAATAACGCAATCAGAAAGAGAGAAGGCGGAACTTAAGGCAGAATAATCAGAGAGTTAAACCGCGCAGCACAGTTGATGCGCTGCTATGTGAAAGGGACAGGAAAGAGCAGGCAGCTGCAGCTACCAGGCAGAGAAGCTGCGAGAGGAAAAGAAGCGGCTGCTGTATAGTAAATTATAAACAAGTTGTTCACATCCAATTATTGGTAGGGACAAATGGGTCCGTCCAAAATTTTGGTAGGGACATGTCCCTATGGTCCCTATGCAAACCTACGCCCATGCCTAAAACTAATACGTTTGTGTTGATTTAATGAATTTAGCGTTAATCAGTAAAATAATAAAAACAATAATTTTTGACTTGATCATTGAGTCTGGGAGCGGCCATTTTTGCCCAAATATAGTAGCCCCTCCCTCCTGCCATCTTCCAGCAGTGACGTCACGGTGCGGTAAGCCTAGCGCCATTCTCCCCGCTTTACAAGCAAAATCAATGGGAACTACTAGACACATCTGCAATCAACAACAATCATTGAAGATTTCCAGAGGACTTCACCATTGAAATTCACCAGAGCTATAGTGAAACTGACAACGCCCACGTGCATGGCAGCTGGATGTTGGAATACATCGGGTAAAAGTGAAAACTGATCCTCCACGGACGGGTTGGTCGTTGGATTGCCAACTTGAAGAGGGAGGATTTGCCATCGAACTTCTGGCCAGAGAAAAAACCCGTAATATGTAGCCAACATTTGGAAGAAGAATGTTTTCAAGATGACTTGGATAATAGCGCGTTGTGACAATCACCAGATACAGCACTGGGACTTGATCAACAGCCGATACCGCACCGTGACGTCACAAACCAGTAGGTGGCAGTAGTGTTCTTTGACAAACATGGATGCCTCCAGTAAAGCACATTCACATGAAAATTACTCTGAATTAAAAACACTGATCATTTATTGAACAGTATGGAATAATTTAATTTCTGAATATACCCAGACTTTTCCTTTAACAATAAACGTTTGTAATATGAAGCAACTCTTCAACAATAGTCAGGTTGGCTTTATAGCATTCTTCTGTTTTTAGCAATGATTTACCAGCAGGGAAAAGCTGAACCTCTACAAGAGTGTTAATAAAGGATTCCAGACGTGCTTATGTAGAACTCAACAGTTCTTTCCTCACCTAACAGTGGGAGACGCTATCCAGTCCACACTTGTAAAACTAACACATAATGTTCCAACTGGGTGTTATCTATCATGGAATTCAGGGGCCTCATGTAGAAAAAGGAAGGAATAAAACAAAAGTCTAAAAACCAGTCCTTGCTTTTTTTTTTTACAGGTGAATAAAGACCAGCTTCAACACGACCATTATAGAAACCTATGTGATATAAATGTGACTCTAAAAAAAAAAAAAAAGTGTGATCACCTTGATTTTTCTTCCAACAGTAGAATCTGTTATTTTTTGGAAATGGAGTCACATGGAGTCTGAAGTGCGTGAGAAGGTCAAGTGTTACGTGATATTACAGATGCAGTGGCCTCCTAAACCGCCACATTAAACATTCCCATCAATCTGTTTCAACGCGGAAACGTTCACACGACTCAAAGCAGTAGCTGAACCAAACGCAGATGTGGAGCCGCAGAGAAAATAAGAGACGGGTTCTTGGGTAAAGGAAGGCGGTCATTTAGTTGACTAATTGATTTGGTTTGTGTGCAAACAGATCAAGATTTTCTATCTTTTTTTAGTGGTAAAGCTGAAGACATCAAATTTTATGACCTTAAAACATTCTGAAACACACAACATCTTAAATGATAAATCTAAAACTCAATAGAAATGCCTTTACTTCCATTTCCCTCAAAATAGGCTAAAACGGAGCAACAATTAGTCAGCTGGAGTCTCTATCTCTTTAAATAACTAATCAGAAGGGTTCATTAGAGTTCATTACTGCTTTTAGCTTTAACTTATTAGTGAAGGAAATATAAATATTTAAAGTGTTTCACTTCCTCTCAACATGAGATGCTGTGGTCCTATTAGGGATGAAGCTGTGAGACTAACAATCCACCCATCTACACTGTGACCCATCACTGGGTTAGTAGGAATGAACACCCAATAATGCCCATGAATGTTAGGGAGACTAGGGAACACAGAAAGGTTGTTAGAATATAGGAGGGAATGGGGGTATGGCGGTGTTCTGTCAGATGAGCATACCCATAGTCAATACCTGTTTATCCCTTTAGTTTATCTCTTTAGTTTTGTATGAAAAATAGACTATAAACTACCTCAACGGGCCTACATCCCTTTAAGCCGGGCATACTCAGTCAGATTTTCTGCCCTTTTCAGGCTGACTTTTCAGTCGTGTGACAATTTTTCCATTGGGCCGACTTTTAGCCTGATCGTGTGTTGTGTCGTGTATAGGGGATAACGAGGGGGATCAGTGTACCACAAACGCCTCCCGATCAGGAATCATGAGGTCCGGAGAAAATCAAACATGTTTGAATTTCAGTCAGCGGTCATAAGATGGTCGTGGGCAAATCTCTTAGTGCGCAAACAAGGATTCTTCTTCTTCTTAGATGAAAACACAGAAGCATGGCAGGGGTGCGATGAGTGAAATGGAGTTATTTCTGTAAAATTGACAGACTGTAGTAGCCACGTTTGCTCAGCCATGTCTTTGTCCAAATGCGTCGTCGCCTTTTCTTTTTAGGGCTTTCAGCACAAAATTGCACAAACTGCCAAGGCAGCACGTTTCACTCTAGTGAGCTTTATATTCCTCTTCTACTGGTTTGGCTTCTGGATAGACGAGTCCGAGTAGCTCCATCTAACTGCGGAGCTGAGTCCCACATGGATTTTAGACGTACAGTGTGAGCAGGTAGATCGCATCAGAGCGTCGGGCCGCACAGTGTGAGAACATACATGGTGAACTGTGAAACCCAGAGGTTTCCTGCGGTTGTCAGTGTGAGGTGTAGCTGCGTTGAATGATAGAAAAAAATCAGACAGCCTAGTCATTAGGGCCGGAGAGGTTCACAAAATCCACGGTTCGGTTTGGTTTACGGTTTTTGGTTCGGTTTGGTATATGTTGATTGTTAGGAAAATCTATTATGTCTTGTATAGTACAACACGTGTTGCACAATGCTTGCACACTGTTGCACTTTTATCCACAACTTTCTTTCCGCCGTCATCGTAGGTCACTCTAAATGCAAAGTGGTCCCTAGCAGACCTATAAAGTGCTGCTGGTGCGTCTTCCAACTCCTGTTCTTTCCCACTCGCCATACCCACACAATTCTCCACAACAACCACTGATGGGACAATGGCGTTAAGAGTAATGGCGTTACTAACGCACAGCACACACAGAGAGATGGAGAGTGAGGAGGACTCCAGCAGCAAAACAGCTTTTTCCTGATGGAAATACGGGTGTTACGTCGAGCTGCGTTTCCCCATCAGATACGGTTTCCCCTGCATCTCCGCACAGCGCAGGCGGCACGATTCACCGCGCAAGCAAAAGGAAACGTGCATGCTCGCTAAACGCGTGCAACAGTCGCCCTGTGCTCGCGCCACAGGAGAACTATGGAGAGCGTGAAAGATCAAATGATAGCCTATATGGAGAAAGGGAGATGGATGGATGGATGGATGGATGGATGGATGGATGGATGGATGGATGGATGGATGGATGGATGGATGGATGGATACTCTGCCTTTCGAACCTACTGTATTTTTTATTTTAAACATTATTTGATGGCCTTTGTGGCAGGGATGGAGATCCATATTTTATGTCACACACAGAGTATAGATCTAGATAGATAGATGGATAGATAGATGTTGCAGTATCTATAACAACCCAAACACACAGGATTTCAGAATTAGACATCCCCAGTTATTAATTTCACCAGATCTGAATGCCCTGTTAAAAAACTTCACATGGCGTTCCCCCCTGATGTCATTTACGTTGAGTTGCAATAAATGCAAAACTCTCTGCAGGTTCTTGTCTTTGTCGTCCGCTCTATTCAGCTGGCTTTGAAACACACGGCGAGAAGGTGGGGGCTGGGTGGTGATGGTTAGGGGGGCGAAAAACGCAAAAGTAACGCAATAGTTACTTTTACTAGTAACTAGTTACTTTTATTGTGGAGTAACTCAGTAACTCAGTTACTTTTTGGGAGAAGTAACTATAACTAATTACTTTTTCAAAGTAACGTGCCCAACACTGACAACAACTGATTTTTTCCTGCTACACCCGGCTACGCTGCTTCGCTTCTTCTTCTTGTTTACTACTGGTGGTTGGCTTTGGTCGCAGTACCGCCACCTTCTGCTCTGGAGTGTAAACGCTTCGCCTATGAGAAAAAGGAGCAGCGCATGAACCGAACGCAATCAAACCGAGACAGTCAAACCGAACTGTTCGGACGGTTTTCATAAACTGTTCCATCCCTAGTAGTTATATATAAAAAATAGGTTACTGTTTGGTGTTTTTTGAAGCGTATGGCGACCTGACCTTAAATCGTTTTTTGTACATAACTAAAGGGATACACGCCCGTCGAGGTAGTTTAAAGTATATTTTTCGTACAAAACCAAAGGAATAAACACAAATCTGACGTCTTGCGCATGCGTATTGACTATATGTATGCTGGTCTGACAGAACACCGGCCTATTGGTTGGGGCATTGCGCTTGGAATCCTGAGGTTCTAAGTTTGAGCCCCACTCCAACAGACTGCTACTCTGGGTCTCTGAGCAAGACCCTTAACCCCACACTGCTCATTGGGCGTAGCACAGAGTGTGAATTTTGTTGCTTTATACTTGTGACAGTGTAATGACAATAAAGTTGAATTCTCTTCTATTCTAAGGGTGGTAAATATGTTTATGGACACACACCCTACTGGCTGTGTGTTAGAACAACAATGAAGGTGTGAATTTAGCTCAAATTATGGCAAAACATTATTCTCCACATTTATGGAATAAATTCAGAATAACTTACATTCGAAAAACAAAAGTCTGTTAACAAAAACATTCCAGTCCAAGTTGAACATATTTCAGTAAAAGACTCTTGATCATACTAGCAAAACTCAACTAAACTAAACTACTGAAAACCATAATCGATGGGAAGTTGCAATGATATCATAGTTTAGCTGGATTTTATGTTTGAGAACCAAAGTTGATGTGAATTTGGGATGTGATCAAATTAGCTTTTAACTTATTTATAGCAATTGGCTTAGATAAGTAATATTAAGAAAGAAAAACCAACCTTAAACAGAGGGGGTGCTTTAAAAACCTACGATGCAGCGATAGTTGATTAACACTGGGTTACACTCGCCTATTCAGCCAGGCCAACAATTCCCTTTAACGACCCCCCTTTCAGAGACATAGACAGGTATGGAGCATTGCAGGCTAACAAAGAATCCAAACGGCCCCCATTCCAAGGGGATGGACCTGTTCGTCTGTTTCAATTTGCATGTTTTCTAACCAAAATCAAGGCTTTGTTGGGTTTCTGTATTAAACCTCAAACTCAATGCTATTTCTGACATTTTGAACTGAAAAAGCTTCCTGGATGGGAAGCGAAACATCTTCAAACTCGGAAACATAATCCAGTGGATGGTTTCTTTTTTTACTTTTTTGGAAAAACAGGCATTAAATATCACGTCAGTCTATTAAATCCCCTGTAATGTCCTTTTTCTCTGTCTAGGTCTTCCTCTGGATTACAAGTTCCCCAGGTTTTCCCCAGAGAAGCCCTGCACAATCGGCTACTACCCCAGGCCTCCAGATTCCGTGCTGAAGAGTTGTGAGGATCTTTCGTGAAAAAGAAAAAAGAAAACACAGGATAAATTAAAAAAAATGGTCCCCTCTAACCCCTCTGCCTCAGGAGAGGAATGTGCCTCTGTTTTTTTTTTTTTTTGCCTGTAGTCTCCCTAACATCGCAGAGCGCATACACTCATCACCCATCCAGAGAAACCATGTGAATGTAAGCCACAGTAACTGTAACAACGCCTACATTTGAAGTTGTTTTGTGGTTTAGTGTCCCAAACCTGTGGAAATACAAGAAAAATAACAGTGTGTGTGTGTCCTCCTCTCTTGTTTTAAGCAGTTGAATCAGTTCAACTGCTCTAAAAGAACCTCTGTTTGTGTCTCTTAACGTGAACTGATTACCTCAATCTGCTGTAATATAAACAGGTGAACTCATCCCCTCACCTCCTGGTTCATCGTGTCAGTAATTCTGTAACGGTGGAGTTGCGTCTCTGTAACGATGGTTTCTATGTATGTATCTTAATAACCTGAACGTGAGGTAAAAGCTCTCCCTGTGGAAGTCACTGTCGCTCTCAGACTAGCACAATACTGTTTTATGGTTGGGTTTATATGGTAGCTGCTTCATGATAACAGTGAAAGATGAGCTAAATATCCTGTGTGTTTATTAAAGCCAGGCATACACTGTGAGATTTTTGTCAATCGTTGCACGCAGCTACAGCTCAAACTGTACAAAGAAACCGGGTTTCACAGCTCACAATGTTTGTTCTCACACTGTGCGGCCCGACGCTCTGATGCGATCTACCTGCTCACACTGTACGTCTAAAAACCACACGTCGGACTCAGGGCCGAGAGATGGTGCTGGTCAGACAATCTGGAAGAAGAAGTAGAACTTCCTTGTTTGCACATGCGCAGTAAGGTAAATCAGCACGTAGCTCTGTTTCATCAGCAGGATTTGCCCACGACCGCCTTACAATGGCGGACTGAATTTCAAACATGTTTGATTTTCTCCCTATCTTAAGATTCCTGATGGGGAGGTGGTCGCCCCTCGTTACCCCCTGTACGCTACACGACACAGGACGCACAATGAGGCTCAAACTCGGCCCGATTGTAAACATTTTGGCACAGCAGGAAAATCGGCTCGAAAAGGGCAAAAAAACTTGTACAGTGTACGCCCGGCTTTAGTGCTACATGTTTTTGCTTGTTTCTAGATGTGGACCATGTGTTACTTCATTGGTGTATACCGACCTCTGAATGGGTATTCATTGTTGTGCAGTTGTACTCTGCGAGTATGTTGGTTGCTCTTAATGCTTATTGGTATCTGTTGGGTTTTTTTTACGGGATAGAGCATCCTTTGGAAATCCAGAGGAACGAAAACCATGAAAATCCTGATCAGCTGATCCTGGACTCATGATGTTTTTTTAGTTTAATTCTTTGAATCCATCCTAAATATCCTTCATTTTCTGGTAGGTAAAGCCGGGTGTACACTGTGCGATAGTTTCAATCGTTGCATGTAGCTACAGCTCACACTGTACACAGGGTTTAAAAGTTCGCAGCTCACCATGTTTGTTCTCACACTGTACAACGACACTCCGGGGTTTAAAAGTTTGCAGTTCACCATGTTTGTTCTCACACTGTGCGACCCAACGCTCTGATGCGATCTACCTGCTCACACTGAACGTCTAAAAACCACATGGGCCTGAGCTCCGCATTGAGATGGCGCTACTCGGGCTCGTCTATCCTGTATGGAAGAAAAACAGTCTCATTGGAATCTGCCTTTGGAACAGAAGGCAGATTCACCGAATTTTAAACACTGAATTACTTACACTCAATTTTTATCTTGTAAAAATTCACCAGAAAAAAATTCAGCTGCAAAACAATTCAGCTGCAAAAGTGTTGACCTTTTGGTGAACTCAAGCCAAAGCAATATACACTCGATAGAGTCGAGCAGCTTCTAGCCAATGAAATTAGCTCATTTGGTCACGTGACAAAACGGCTGCGTTCAGCGCTGTTCCCGGCTGAATGAGGAATTTTTTTTGTTAAACAGATAGAATTACAAAACGTCAGTTAGCTACTAACAGATTGCTATTAGAGTTTTTCCTCTTATCAGACTGGGTGAAACAACTGAGCCGATCACAGCTAGTACGGCACCCCTGTCTGCCAAGGCTATTGGTTTGATCCGGAAGAAGCAGCCGGCGGCAAACTTTTTTTCCGCTTCTTCCGGATCAAACCAATAGCTGTCTGTTCTTAGCTAACTGACGTTTTGTAATTCTGGTTAACAAAAAAAAAATTCCTCATTCAGCTGGGAAAAGCGCTGAGCACAGCCGTTGTGTCATGTGACCAAATAAGCTCATTTCATTGGCTAGAAGCTGCTCGACTCTATCGAGTTTAGATTGCTTTGGCTTGAGTTCACCAAAACGTCAACACTTTTGTGGCTGAATTTTTGCGGCTGTCAGTTTTACAGAAACAACTCCATTTTACTCACTGCCCCCAGTCCGTGATTCTGAGTTTTTATCTGAGAGGAAGAAGAAGAAGAATCCTTGTTTGCGCACTGAGCGATTTACCCTCTATCATCTTACAACGGCCAACTGAATTTCAAACATGCTTGATTTTCTCCCAACCCCACGATTCCGTGAGAGGTTGATTGCCCCTCGTTACTCACTGTACAGTACACTACACGACACAACATCTGGCTGAAAGTCGGCCCGATCGAAAGATTCTCGAACAACTGGAGAATCTTAGCCTCGTGAGACCATCCTGATCTCGCGAGCTTTCAAGGTTTCACCCGCAGATCAGTCTGAAGACTCTCCGTTGAAGAAAATTTGGAGCCGTTCACCAAACGAACGTCCAATCAGCGTTGGCTTTGAGGCGGGTTGAGGTGTGTTGAACGAGAAGCACGACAGTTCACTCTAAAGAACATGGTGGCTTCAGCCGATGAAACTAGGGTTAGCGTGGCTATCGAGCAAGTTTTATCGGAATTACAGAGTATTTCTTCACGGAAAGAAGAGCAAAACACTGCTCTGGAGGCTTTTCTCAGAGGAAAAGATGTTTTTGCTCTTCTCCCGACTGGTTTCGGCAAGAGTTTGATCTATCAGTTGGCTTGTGCCTGGCTTGTGGTTGTGTTTTCGTCGTCGCTCTGTTAGTACGTCATACGCTTCGTTGATCTGATTGTTTTATTTGGCCCGTCTATCACCAACATAGGCCAATCAGCTAACCAGTATTTTCGGCCCTTCCCAAAATTACTTCAATGGAAGGTTTCCAGATGGATATGCGGACCAAATCCATCTGGCGGAGTCAGGTTAGGAGAATCTGCCCGAAAAGGCCAAAAAATCATACAGTGTATGCCCGGCTTTAGAGCAGTAAGGAGCACCTTTTCTGTTAATAGATATTTAATCATTTCAGCTCCATGAACCACCTCTCCTGACGATCTGTCTTTCTCGCAATAAAATAAATCAGGGAAGATCTCAAGGATAAATGTGCTTAAAAAGGTCGCCAGCACTGACATGCATAAAAAGGGCGCGTTGTGAGTAATACCTGCTGTCCACATTCAATCAGTCGTATGTAATTCTAAACATGACTTTAGAAACTGGTGAGCACATTTCTCGGACGAAGCAAACATTAGCGTATCCTAAAGCATCGCTGCTCTAATTGCACCTGAATCTTCACATTCTACAGCGATGATTTAAATGCACTTTCTAGAGTATTGGACAGGCAGTTAAAGCCGTGACTATAGACCCATTTCCACTACCCTCTGAAAACCCATCTGTGTCCAGCTTGGATCAGTTAACAGTGCCAAGCTTGTTTCCTTACGACCGTTTACACAGCACGCTAGCATGGTTCCTCGCCTCCTAGTGACGATCTATGGTACTACTGCTCTCTAGAGGGAAACAAGTAAACCAACATGGCGGCGCCCATAACAATCAGGAAGCTTATAGAGAGTCAGGCTAAGAAGGCAGCCTTTTGTGAATGAACTTGACGGAGTCGGCTTTTGGGAAGTGAATGCAACAAACGATAGTCTAATCAGGGATTACAAATACAGGAAACAATGACAGACGTTAAGGTTCATTACACTGCTAAGCTTGGGTGACCAGATTTGGGCTTCGGAAAAAGAGGCAAATTTTTTTGTTGGGGGGGTTGCTGGGCTGCTGACTGAACCGGACCGGGCATTTGAACCGAGCCATGAGATCCAGGGATGCTCCGGGTACGGTGCGACCCAACCCGACCCGGTGACGGTATGCTTCTCCCCGCCTGTCTTACCGGGCAGGTCAGTAGCTGCAGCCCCATCCCTCACTGGCTCCCTCCCCAAATCCGCCAGAGTTCCCGGACCGTCCCCGGATCTGACGGCTTGATTCTGCTGCACTGTAGTCGACCAAAATCCCCCCAGACATTTTTTTAGGTATGAAAAGTAGGACATGTTGTGGAAAAAGAGAAGCAGAATCATCACTGGAAATCGTGTGGCGCTGTAGGGAAGCTAGTATTTTTATGAATGTCTCAAATTTCCTGATTATGGAGGCTGTAACGAGATGACGCGGTCTCCTCATGCACTCTTTGTTATCTGAGAACTGAGCCAGAACTGAACTGCACCGAGCCCTACTGATGAACTAGTACCATTGTAGTGCGGTTCAGCTGTGTCTGGCACGGTCCAGTTCAGTTGTGCGTGCTATTTACACTCAACAGTTATCTCTGTTACCGTGCTCGGACTGATCGCAGCACGGTTTCAAAAGGGTAGTGGAAATGGGGCTTATAAGATTATTACCAGCATGTGATGGAGTTTAGTGGGATTGTCGGTTGGCGATTGAATGTGGCCAGGTAGGAATGTCAATAAACTGCCCAAAATGTGGGATAAAGTCTACGACACCATCGAACCACCCAGTGGTCCACCATGAGGTTGATTGTCAATGTGCCAATCATAGAAAAAAAACACCAACAAACTCTGGATCCCAACAGTTCTCCACTGCTGCCTATTTTAGACGATTCAGCACCAGTCATTAATTCTCTGACCTTAAATGGGTCCAATCAAAACGTTTGTCGATGGATTGTCTTGTATATAAGCTGTTCGATGAGAACTATCAGGAGCTAGTGTGG